ACTGAAGAAAATAAGAAGATATACATTGCCAACATCAGGACTGAAAGAGGGGATACTATTACAGACCCCACACACCTTAAAAGGATTATATGAGAATATTAGTATCAACTTTATGTAAATTTGACATTCTATTTGAATTAGACAAATTATGTGGAAGATATAAACAAAATACAGAGAAAAAATAGAAAGTCTTAATAGCATGTATCTGTTAAAGAAATTGAATTCATAATTTAAAACCTTCACACAAAGAAAACATCAGCCCAGATGAATTTGTTGGTGAATTCTATCAAACATTTTAGGAAGCAATAATATCAGTGCTATACAAATTCTTTCAGAAAGTAGAAAAGAGAACATTTTTCATGTCATTTTATGAGTTCATCAGTCACCTGATACTAAAGCTTGAAGACATTATAAGAATACTACAGACCAACATCCTTTATGAATGTATGCAAAAATCCTTAACACTGTATTAACAAATCTAATTAGCAATATATAAAATGGATGATATATCATGACCAAGTAGGGTTTACTCCAGGGAAGTAAAATAATATGTTTACAATACATATATTCATCAAGGGACTTGTATCCAGACTATATAATATATTCTTATAACTTAATAAAAAGACAACCCAATTTTTTAAATGGGTAAAAGATTTGAAGTGACATTTCAAAAAAAGAAGATATGTACATATGAAAATATGTTCAATATCATTAGTCATCAAGAAAACACAAATTAAAGCCACAGTGAAATACTACAACACACCTCCTGGAATGATTAAAATTAAAATACTGATAATATAAAAAATAATAATAAATAAATAAATAAAATTAAAAAAATAAAATACTGATAATATTAAGTGCTGATTAGAGTATGGAGCAACAGAACTCTCACATATTGCTGAATGTCACTGTAAAATGGGACATCTACTTTGGAAACATTTTGGCAGTTTCTTACAAAGTTAAATATGTACTTTCCATGTGACGCAGGATTACCACTCTTAGGTATTTACCTAAGAGGAATGAAAACAGATGTTCACATAAAGACTTCCACATAGATGTTCATAGCAACTTCCATCATTTTAAAACCAGAAACAAATTCCATCAATGGGTGAATAGAAAAACAAATGGATGTATATCCATATACTAGCATACTATTTAGCAATAAAAAGAAACAACTAACGATACACATAACAATGCAGATGAATCTCAAACGCATTTTGCTGACTTCCAAGTCCTGGAGTGTCCTTTTCTGGATTCTCCTCCATTCCCCTACTTGCTCCCATCATACTAATCTGGAGCCTCAGCACTTCAGGCCTTAGTTAATCCAGTGGCCACTCTGCCTCCAGCCTTTCAATTTTCAACTGCACTTTGTCAGAACAATCTTCATAAATGCTACTTCCGTATATCATCGCGAAAACTAAACAAAAATGTAAAATAATTAATATTGTGTTAACATTTAATGCAATTCTTCTAATGCCCCAGCTTCCAGAACTCTAAGATTTCTTGCCAGATCAATACAATAAATTTTCCTGTTACTGAGACTATACGTAAGTCTTCTAACTTGTTCTGATATTCTATTCAATGAACTGCATTTGAGACTCTTACCTTAGAACTGTATGGTCAAGGATGTAATACAAATCAGCCCTCCGTCCAGACTTTTTTCTCAGTCAGAGGCAGTTCCAGTCTTCCAGTTATCCAGGCTTGAATCAATGGAGTTAGTGTGGACTCATATTTCACCCTATTCCCCATATATGATCAGTTAACATTCCCTGTAAGTCCTTAGACATTTCCCTTATATCTTTCTTTCTATTAAAAAGATTTTATTTATTTATTTGAGAGAGACAGAGAGAACAAGTGGCAGATCAGCAGGGGCAGAGAGAGGGAGAATCAGGCTCCCTGCTGAGCAGAGAGCTCGATGTGAGGCTGCATCTCAGGAGCCTTAGATCATGATTTGAGCTGAAGGCACACACTTAACTGACTGAGCCATCAGGCACCCCTGTTTCTTTATGGAGCCCTGGTCAGTACCAAAGTTTAGACCCACATCTTACAACAGCCTGCTTGCAATAATCTTCAAATTGTGTCTTTTGCTTCTAGACTTACATGTGAGATATTTGAGACTTCAACTATGGGGATAGCATTTTCAGAGACCTACATTGCCATAAGTATTTGTATATATTATTCTCATAAAAACCCTGCAAGGGAAATAAGAAAAATAAGTGCACTGAGTACTTTGTTCAAGGTGATACAGCTAGTGAAGGACAGAGGATTAAGACCTAGGCCCACATGGCCCATTTATAAGTAAAAAGAGATAACAGATAAAATTTTAAAGTTCTACATTTGTCTAGGGTTAAAAAGGGAGGAGACTTGCACTTGAGATAATAGACAAGTGCTTTTAAGTAGGGACTTTTATTCCACGTATTTTCCTTTAAGGGTTATTCTAATTCTCAGCCATTATTTTAAGTACAGTTACCATCCTGAATAAAAGTTCTGTTTGACATTCTCATAAAGTGATGACTCTGATTTTAAAGATATTTGAGTGGCTATTTGGTTATCTTCAAGGTCTTGAGATTATTTGTGCATTTCATTTGCCTGACATACATACCAACAGACATACTCAGTAAATGTTGGGTGGTTGAATGAAAGAATTATAAATAACACTTTAAAGTTTTACAATATTTAATGCACTCATTTAAGAACCCCATAAGGTTGGTTGCATTATCATCTCCATTTTACAAATGAGGAAACCAAGACACTCGTGGCCAAGTTCATATGATTATTGGCAGACCATGGTTTATAAACAGAGATTGAGGCAACTAACTCATAATCCCTTACACTAAACCACAATAGTATCTTGCTTCTTGGCTCATGGAAGAATTATCTTGGTGGTCATTCAGATTGTTAGTAGAATTAATATATGCATCTTGATGCTTCACATTTTAAGATGTAGGCCAAGGGTTCTTAGCCTTGGATCTTTGGATCTGTGGTCCATGGACAGGCCCTATGGGACCATGTATCTCATGAAATTTGATTAGAGTTTGTGTGTGTGCATAAACACATTTTTCCCTTGGGGCAGAGACCTACAGCTCTCATCAGATTCTTAAAGAATTTTGTAATAACCAGAAGATTAGTTATTATATAATAATGGACATGGAGAAATATTTGGGATTTTCCTGAGACAAAATTAAAGTTATTAAATGTTCAAAAATACTTATAGGTCAGTTTATTTGAAGGAATGTCCACAGACTACATTTTATCTCTGCAAAGGATACTTTGGTTAGGGGACTAGAAATTAATATTTATTAGGCACAACTAAATGTCAGGTATTTAACATATCTAAGCTTATCTTAATTCTTGTATCACTACCAGAAAGATATCATTTTACAATTGTATAAAGTGAGGCTTAGAATGGTAAGAACATGGCGGATAATGTACTGAAGGACTAGGGTACCCAGACCTAACTCTGAAGCTGGTACCACCTCACCTTGTGGTTAGACACAGTTGCTAAATGCCAAGGGCATTCAATGTAACCAGCCTTGCTGAGAGGCAGCTCTTCTGTGGTTTCCTTATAATACTACCTAGAAATAGAGGCTGAGTTATATGGCACCTTCAGGCCATTTTGAAGAACAGGAATTCAGTTTGGCTTTAAGATCATATCCCATTCACATCTCTACATTCTGTTCTTTGGGACTCCCTTTTAGACAAGTCTGTCACAGCTGCAGTAGGATTGGTTTAGCTCCCAGACTGTAGGGTATCTGAACCATTGGTCTGGCTGACTCATTATAGCACACTTTAGGCCTCTGGTGCCCACAGGCCTCCTTTTTCCATTTCCGTTGTCCATTTGAACAAAGGAACAGTCCTCCTCCTCCTGCAGCTGCAATGGAGTTAGCAACATCCTTGAAACACAAAACAGGAACTGTAGTCAATTGCTTCTTTGAGCTGCTATGCCATGTACTTCTTCTTGACTAGCGACTTTTATTCTACCTGCTAGCTTGCATGAAAATCTCCCTATGCAAAACCATTTGTCAAGCACTGCAAATCACGGACAGGGCCTTTGAGATCTCTTAAAAGCTTCTCTAGTTTCACAGAGTAGCCTATACCACCTGCACAAGAAAGTTTTAGAGAGGTAGATAGGCCATCCTCTTATAACATAGGGGGAAGAGACTGCTCTCTTGGATAGGGTGTTTCTCCAGCTTTGGGGAGAAGTGGATCCCTTAGCAGAGACTGGCTTATCTCCCATAAATTCTCCCAGCCTCTGCTCCAAGAAATGTACCCTAGCAGTACTGAGTATCATTTGACTGGATTAATATTATCTCATGGCTATTCTCCTCCACCTAGCCTCACTAGGCTACCTGCGGGGAGGATAGTGGGGATGGATTCAAAGAGGTTGTTATGGGGCCAGGATTATTTTGGTAGCAGAATAAATTAGTGAGAATTTACTCAAATAGAAAATAATTCCACACAGCACTGAGGAAAACTGAAACAGAAACTTCATACTCCATACTACTAATGGATGCTTTGCTTTACAAAAGATAAACCCAGTTTATCTGAGTTTCCTAGAGCTACCATAACAAAGTATTATAAATTGAATGACCTTAAAAAGAAAACCCAGAAATTCATTGTCTCCCAGTTCTAGCGGCTAAAAGTACAATGATCTTTACAAGTGGGTCTGTGTGTTACTCTGAAATACTGCCTTCCAGCCTTTCAAAATCTTTTCAGATTTTGCTCTTACTCAGTGATCAATTATTAGATTTATCTTAATTAGCTTCTTTACCATTTAAGTACACAGTAGAATAAAAAGCTTTGATATGACAAAGTATATTACATTTCTGGGATGATCTAAGACCTTGTATGTGCCTGCTGGTAATGGTATCTCTTTTATTCCTTAGTGTTCATCAATGTCTGCTTTTCTGCTCTAGTTCTGTAGGATGTTTCCCTATTTTTGCCTTCATCCCCCTTTGAATTTTATATCAAGCTTAGGGTCCATTTAATAGACATGCAGATCAAAGAAGTATAATTATTTTTAATAAAGCTAACAACATAATTGTGGACAAAAACTTCTAGAAAGTTCCTATTCACATACATCTCCCATGGCTTAGTTGCAGTTTCCCACTCACAAAACAGACATCCCCCTTAATCTGTACTTACAAATATTGTACATTATCTTTATTTTATTTTCTACACATTGCAATTTCAACCAAGACATAATTGTCAAGCATTGGTAGTAGACATTACATTAGTGTACCAGTGACCATTGTGGTGGCTCAAATTTCCAGTAGCTTTGTTTTAATCCAAGAGTATTTTTTTCTTATTTTGAAAACAGAGGGTTATTTTCTTACATGACTAAAAAGACTTTACACCTATTTCTTTTAAATAAAGGCATTTATTTGAAGAATATTAGTAGCATGATAACTCAACCTCACCAAATATTCACAGTTCATCAGGTCAGGCAATAGAACAAGTCCATGTGAGCTTCTTATAAAGAAATGGATGACCACTTCAGTAGCTGCCTCCATCTTCTATTACTGGAGGATTCAGAATCCAAAATATGAAGTTTGGGGACTTTTTCTCAAAAGCAGAAATAAAGAAAATGTCTGAAGCGATGATGTTGACCTTTTTCAAAAAATCTATGAAACTTTAACTGCATATTTCAGTCTTGTTGAATCTTTTGTATTATTCTGACTGTCAATGAGAACCAGAGGGCTATATTGATGATTCTTGATAATTTCAGCAACACTTCCAAAGTACTACAGCAAGAAAACATAAATGAATTAAACGTTGGAATTTAACTTTGAGCTCTGCTCCTCCAATCTGCTCCCACTTTCTCAAGTTAGTCAAAGTTACTAGGTCTCAGCTGACATTCTACCCAAAAAAGTCTGATTTAACAAAGGCTGTAATCCTCAAAGTGGCAGATTCTGGCCTTGCCTGTAGTCGGTAACAGTAAAAACACTGGCAGCCTCAATTAGTGTAACCACTTAGAGAAATTATTTCATTGAATTATGATGTAATATTTTAATGGATTTTTATTTAGTAACAAGTGTAAAACTGTCATACACTGAGTTTCTCTACATTCTTTATAAAATATAGCTTATCTGTTATGTTGCACGAGTCTTAAATGCAAGGACTGATGGAATAAATTAAGTGTTTTAGTGTCAGAAGAGAGTTATTTCCCAGATTAATTCATGCTAGTTTTGTTTTTGTTTTCCATTTTGAATAAAGAAAGCTTTATTAAATTCTCATATTTCCATTTTTTTCTCTAGCTCCCAGAGCTACTTAATAATTAGTTTAGGGATCCCTGGGTGGCGCAGTGGTTTAGCGCCTGCCTTTGGCCCAGGGCGCGATCCTGGAGACCCGGGATCGAATCCCATGTCAGGCTCCCGGTGCATGGAACCTGCTTCTCCATCTGCCTGTATCTCTGCCTCTCTCTCTCTCTCTCTCTGTCTCTCTGTGACTATCATAAATAAATAAAAATTTAAAAAAAAGTTATAAAAAATAATAATAATAATTAGTTTAGAGTTAATCAATAATGGAATCCATGCTAAGCTCTTACCATACATACTTATTTTCCTGTGTGCTAACTCCTATTGTCTATGGATTTTAATTTAAGGTTATGACAAATATTTTACTGAAAATTTATCAAAATTTTAAATGAAAGATAAAATAAATATAATATACAGCAGGAAATGAAATGCATTGATTATACAAAAGTATTACAAGTTCATAATCATAAATAAATGCATTTAGAGTCATTTTCAAAAAAGCAGTAATTGTTTTGCAACACTGCCAAAAATTTAGCAATTATCACTAACTGATTTTATTGTCTTTTCATTTCTTATATAAAGACAAACAAAATAAAAAAAATTTAAGCCTTTATTATTTGGATAGCTTCCAAATATCTATATACTGAATAAAATACTCAGAATACTGGTCAACTTTTTCAAATAAAATGCCAGCTGTCTTTTAAATAATTGGCTATTTGAATATTAGGTCAAGGAGGAGAGATGAGAGACAGGGGCCTTCAACTATCTTCATATTTCTTAACTTGCTCTTCAATCATACAGCCCTTTTGCAATTGCCAATGAAATTCTTTTATAATATTCATAAAGACATTCATTTTGTTTGCTTGGCATAGCATGTTGTTAAATTGAATACAGTTGGAAGTTAAATTGATGGACTAAAGAACCAGGAAATGAAATAGCATGGCCTCTTTGAAGAGGATTCCAAGGGAAAAAGTATTTTCTGAACCCAGGAAACACAGGAGAGAGTTGCTATACTTACACAAACAGACATCCAGTCCCTGAGTATTTTTGAGTATTTCTTTGTTGGAGTGTTTGGGGCTTGAAATGTTTGAAATAGGGAGTTGAGGTGAGTTGAAATGCGTGATGTAGGGAGCAGAGTTGAGGCGTATTGAATGTAAAATTGAGCATAACTTAGTTGCAGTTTCCCCTCAGTGCTTTTTTTTTTTAAAAAAAAAAAGGCTACAGTAATTCATTGTATTTGAGATATTCATACATGGACAGAAAAACAACTTGTTTAATAACTCACAATCTCATGGTCCATAAAATAAAGCAAACATATCAAAGCTACAAAATTACTGAATGCCATATCTACTAATGCCAAAACGACTTCATAAAATAGTTAAACAGTCAGCTGGTTTCATTTTCTACTCATATACACTCAAACACAAATACAGGCAAACAAACTTTTCACAATATCCACATATCATGTAACCAGAGTTTTCATTTTCCATTCAGATATTCAGTATATGGGAGAAATAACCTTTTAATTATAGATAAGTAAGAGTTTTAATGGACTCTGTCAGCACTTTTAGATACCATTTAATAATATGCTATTTGTTTTGCTATCTATAGGCTGGATGTGGGGAGTGAGGTGAAGTTCTGATCTATATTCATCCTGTAGTAGGGATGAAGACTCTTTAGGCTAAGAGGAATCCCTGCTTACCAGAGTTTCCTTAGCAGGACAAGAGTCCAGAGCCCTTCTGGGAGCTCAAAATTTATGAGAATTTCAGGACCCCTAAACAGGATAGCTACCTCACCCACACTTAAGCCTCTTTTAGAAGGACTGGACCCCTGCCTGGGAAGGCTTAGAATGAAGCCATCATCCAAAGTCACTCTGTCCTACTAGGATCACCACCATCTGCTACCACTGATTGCTACTGAAGAGCATTTATTTTTAAAAGGTTTGTCAGATAAAGGTTTCAGTGAGAATGAAGGTTTTTGTGAGTAGGGAAAAGTAGACAGTTCTGTTAAAGTTTAACTGGTATTAAATAATAATGCAATCTATATTTTAAAACCTAAGTTTGGTCTTGATCTATGGTTTGTGTTTTCATATTCAAGAGTTTTGCATTTCCAATTATCTTAGAATTTACTAAAAGCAAAATAAAATGCAAAACTATAAAACTCCTAAAAGAAAAAGGGGGAAAATCTTCATGAGATTGTATTTGGCAATGATTTCTTGGGTATGACACCAAAAGCATAACAAAAACAAAAATAGACAAATAGGACTAAATTAAATTTTAAAACTTCTGTTCATCAAAGGTCATAATCAGTAGAATGAAAAGGCAGCCTATGGAATGGGGGAAAATATTTTGCAAATCATATATCACATAATGGGTTTATATTTAGAATATATGAAGAACTCCAACAACACAAAACCAAAAAATCAAATAACCCAATTTAAAAATGGGCAAAGGACTTGAATAGACATTTCTCCAGCAATGATATACAAATAGCCAACAAACATGAAGAAATGGTCAAAATCACTAATTATCAGAGAAATGCAAATCAAATCAGAGAAATGCAATGAGGTATCACCTCTTATCCATTAGGATAGCTACTATTTAAAAATCCCAGAAAAGAACGGGTGTTGGTGGGCATGTGGCAAAGTTGGAACACTTGTGCACTGTTGGTAGGATTGTAAAATGAGGAAATCATGAAAAACAATACTTCAGTTCCTCAGAAGTTTTAAAATAGAACTACCATATATGATCCAGCAATCCCTCTTCTGGATATATACCCAGAAGAACTGAAAGCAAGGGTCTCAAAGAGATATTTGCACATCCATGTTCATAGCAGCACTATTTACAATAGCCATCAACAATAGCCAGATGTTCATCAACAGATGAATGGATAAACAGAATGTGGTGTATAATACAATGGAATACTATGAAGCCTCAAAAAGGAAAGAAATTGTCACATGGTGTACAACATGGATGAGCCTTGAGGACATAATGCTGCATGGAATAAGCCAGTCAAAAAAAGGACAAACATGGTATGATCCCACTTATGTTAGGTATCTAAAGTAATCAAATTCATAGAAATAAAAAGTAGAATGTTGAAAGTAGAAAAGTGATTGCCAGGGACTGGGGGAGAGTGGAAAAGGGGAGTTGTTTTCAATGAACATAGATATGCAAGAGTTCTGGAGATCTGTTTTATAACATTGTAAGTATATTTAACACTACTAAACTATGCACTTAAAATGATTAATATAGTAAATTTTAAGATATTAGAGGTTTTTTACCACATTTTTTAAAAAGCAAAATAAAGAATACACTCATTGATAGAAGTTTCAGTTTGTTTTATAAATGCTAGTCTCCTGCCTGTGATCACTCAGTCAACAAGTAAATTCATTCATTTAATAAGTACTAATCAAGTATCCACTGAAGATAGCTATGCTATGGTTCTGGAAATACAGAGATGAGTAACACCTAGTGGAAAAGACAAACACTTCAGCAATTATGACACTTTCTAACAATTCAATTCAAACATTTTCTAACAAGTGCTGGGTTTGAAATGAGTATAGTTCTTTCTGGAGTAGTATTAAAAATATTTCTTAACTTAGATTTTTAAAATGCTATCTTCTCTGCTTAGATTGTTCTTTCCACTTTTCTCCTTATCTTTAACTTTCATTCTCCCTACTAAACTCAATCCATCATTCAAGTTCAGAACAAGTTTCACTCCCTTTCTGATCATTTATGATCAGAAATAATCAGATCATTATTCCAGCCCATATATCAGGGCTTTCTTATAAAAACAAGCTGACTAAACAGATGTATGGTAAGCATTGAGTTTGGTCCAGATTAAAGAGGAGTTGGACTTCATATTTGGTTAGTATTCAAGACCTACTGGAATGCTCTTCTCTTGCTACAGGCCCAAAAGCTCATTCTGGTCCTAGGGCTACAGTATAATGTTTCAACACAAGTTTCTGCATCTCCTCTGATCTTTCCCTGGTCATCTGCTTTGGTAGTTGAGTTGAGATCCTAGTTCTTGACTTAGGAGCTTTGGACACTGACCTTGATTCTACTGACACTTCAACTTTGATTTCTATGTTTTCCTGAACCAAAATACTGAATCAGACTGAGTGCACTAAATAGCAGGGTAAAGGGACTAAGATGCAGCCTTTACATCATACAAGTCTTTCTTCTTTTCTGATTTCTCATAGGACATGCTGCCTGAACACAGTATTTTATCTTGTACTCTTTTTATGACATGCATGTGAGCTTTGCACCAAATACTCTTGAATCTTTTCTCCTCTTCTCTAGCATCTAATACACTATGATGCCATTGTGCTCAATACATAGTTATAGAGTTAGAATAAAAGAGAAGTTACTGACCTCTTCTCCATTTTTCTTTCTGCCCAAAGCATACTGCTTTGTTGCTTCAATAAATCGCACAGGGATATTATATACTCGCTTATTAAAGAATACAACTAGTGTATATGGCTGTTTGGAATCATGGCCAGAGCTTTTCCGAATAAGAAATGATCCATCCTGTTTATTAAAAGGAAAACATAACTGTGGTGAGTATTACTTATGTTTTCACAGGTTATAAATCATTTTATACCTATATTATATTCAAAAGGTAATTATTGAGCTATGTGATTTTTATTATTGGTTACAATTTGTTTTATTATTTTCCAAAAAAATACTTCAGTAAAATATATACTTATAGAAAATCCTGAGTAAAGTCAATGCTAGATTTCTTTTTTAAAGATTTTATTTATTTATTCATGAGAGACACAGAGGAGAAAGGCAGAGACACAGGCAGAGGGAGAGGCAGGCTCCATGCAGGGAGCTCGATGTGGGACTCAACCCTGGGACCCCAGGATCACACCCTGGGCCAAAGGCAGGCACTCAACCACTGAGCCACCCAGGCGTCCCAACGCTAGCTTTTTGATGCATGAAATAAGATGTTATGTTTATACACTTAGAAATGGGTGAAAGGACACATTAAGATTAAATATATAGGGCACTCGAACTAGAAACCATGTCTACAAGTTATGTATGAACAACAAAATATGAAACAAATTTCATTCAAAAGTACTATGAGGAAAAAAGCTGAAATTGGGAACCAAATCATTTTAGCTGATGAAAATTCTCTTCCCTAAAACTTATATTGAAGCAGAAAGGAACTGTAACACAACATACCAATTTAATTTTTTTCTAAAATGTCCAAAGGGTGCCTGGCTTAGTCAGAAATGCATGTGACTCTTGATCTAGAGGTCATGAGTTTGAGCCTCATATTGGGTGTAGAGATTGCTTAAAATGAATAAATTAATTAAAAATCTTTAAAAAATAAATGTTCTAGAATCATAAATCCAAAAATTATGAACAAAAAATAGACAAAAAGCAAAAAAGAAGAAATGCAACAAGAATTGATCAAACTCAGGAAGGAAATCAAAGAAAAAGGCAAACCTATCTCAGTAATGAAGAAATTACAAGATGCCCAAGGGACAATATCTTTAAAAAGAGATATGATAAATGACTGAAGGAAGGCATGGAAGAAACCCAGACAATTTTTTAAAATTATTTTTTAAAGATTTATTTATTTATTTATTCATGAGAGAGAGAGAGAGAGGCAGAGACACAGGCAGAGGGAGAAGCAGGCTGCATGCAGGGAGCCTGATGTGGGACTCAATCCTGGGTCTCCAGGATCAGGTCCTGGGCTGAAGGCGGCGCTAAACCGCTAAGCCACCCAGGTTGCCTGAAAAGGAGATTTTAAAAAAAGGAAATACAATAGGGTCAGAGTGGCTGGAATGAAAGAAAGACAAAAAGGTCCAAAATGCATGTAATTTGAGATCTTGAAGAAAAATAGAATAAAGCAGAACTGCTTTTTAAGACTGGAGTTTAAGAAAATGTATTGGAAATAAGAGAAAACAAATCTACATATTAAAAGGAGTTCCATCTATCTGAAAAAATTGACCTGGAAGTCAACTCAGAGACATATTCTGGAAAGCTATTAGACTTTAAAAACAAAAGGTCTGCAGAATAAAATATGATATTATTTATAAGGGCAAGAAAATAACATTAGTTTCAAACTTTTCAAAAGCATCCTATAAAACAAGGCTATCCAGTGGAGCAACACTTTTAAAAACTCAAGACAAGGATATTATAACCAACCAAGATATCCTCCAGGTTATCAACTTATGAATAGCTTTGAATGTGCAAGAACTCAGGGAATAATAATGTAAATATAGTCCTTCCTGAGAATTTACTACAAGGTGAGCTTGGTGAAACAAAAAGAGATAACTGGTGAAGCCAGCAAAGGGATTGATGGAAAGCATTTAACATATTTAATTACAGAGCTAGGACTAAAGCAAAGGTAACAAAAACCAATATGTAAATGTTATATATTCCAACAAAATAGGGTGCAAGTGAAGAAAAATGGAAGGAAGAGAAAGCAAGGGAGAAGTGGCACTTTAACTTTGGATTTTCCAAACCGCTCCTAGTGATCCTATATGATTGGGCTTAGACTCTCCAAAAATTTACTTCCAGGTACTTTTTGCCATCTTGACCTCCATCTTTTAACCCATGCATTGATTCAAAATAGCCTGTTACTTTTCACTCTTGAATGGCTCTCATGTAGCGCCAAGCCTTACAGAGGTCTCACCCTGGAGCCTTATTCTCTCCCATTGTTTGGAGAACAGTGGAGCCTATAGATCCTTGCAAAGAAAGGGCAAGTAGAAATGAGATGGAAGAACAAAGAGGGAGAAACTTGAAAGAGAGAGAGAGAGAGAGAGAAAAGGAGGAGGGGATGGCAATTGTTCTCGAATAAATAAATAAAAAAAGATCCCTGAATCCATAATTGTTGCAATTATTTAGTCAACGGATTATTGGGATGACAGCTGTGCCTATTGTAGGCCTAGAGCAGAATATGGGATCTAAAAATGGTCAAACCTTGTTTGATCTGTATAAAGCCTCTTCAGCAGACTTCCGATCACAGGCCCCAGCGTACCAAGGCTTGCAGTGAATGTCTGCTTCCTGTGAAATGGAGACCATTACTAAGCATGAGATGGTCCTTCAATAATACGGCACCTTCTGTGCACTGAAAACATAGTCCCATTTTGCATTACCAAACTATAGGTAGTTTGCATTACCTAACTATATTTGAACCAACAATTTGAAAATGAGTTCTCTGCTTCTTTGATCAATCACAGGATTATATAATTGATTTTTTTTTTGGCCTTAGCTGTTCAATGTACTTGAACATTATTATCAATCAATCAATCAATCCTGCAAGATTCCTAAGCCATTTATTCCTTTCTCCTAAAAAGTTATAAGCTCCTTATCACGATCTTATTGTTGTTGCTTTGTGGAGTGCTTTCTAATTTCCGAAGTGTTTTTACCAAGTATTATCTTACTGGATTCTTTTAACTACTTTGAAGGCAAGATGGATACATGCTATCATTCTTCTTTTACATTTGAGAAAGCTTAGAGAGACTTGCCCAAGGGCACAGAAAGTTCTTTCTCTTTTTAAAAAACTGCTGCTTTATGGGTTTTAATATCATATTGCCTCCACAGATCTATTCTGCGAAAATTACACAGTTTAAATAGAATATTTGTGAATGGAAGAACAATAAAAATAGCACACTTCTTTGCTAGTTTTGAAGAAACACAAATTATTACTTAGGGCATCCAGAATACAAATTGGAATACGTGGAGCAGGGTCTTAATCCCTGAAAACAAAATGCATTCTGTACCTATTAGCAAATGACAACTCTCTAGCTGACTTAAAAGATAGTCTGTCCTCAAGCTTCACCCTAAACTCCTTATAAGAAGACATTCCCTTTCCTGCAGTTTAATGGTAATTATAAGAGTTCATTCACACCTGTTCTGACAAATGAGGGTTAGATGAAAATAGGCCATCCACAGTTGGGCTTCCTCCTTCTGGAAATCCTGGAAAGGATTTGAAAAATCAACAGGTCTTCATTGTATCTTGAGCAGTTAAGTGTGACTATACTCCAACACTGTGCTAGATGCTGCGGGGGACACACACACTGAAAAATCACACACACACACACCAAAAAATCCTTAATAGCGGTGGTTCTCAAAGCATGGTCTGAGGACATCAGGAATCCCCAGGATTGTTTCAGGGAGGTTGTGAGGTCTTTTCTAAACCCATATCTCTGTGAAGCGCCATTTTCTTAGTAAAGTTCAGCCAGAAAAACACTGCAACAGCTTGAATACAGAAGCAGATGTGAGAATCCAACTGTCTCTGTTATTCTAGGTATTAAAGAGATTCTTAAAATATAAAACAACGCTACTCTTCCCACTAAATTGTTTTTGTTTGGAAGATTTTTCATAAAAACATGTTATTTATGTTAACATGTAATGTATTTTTTGAGTTTAATATTTTTAAATGAAAAATATAAGTTTTAATTAAAATAGATTAATAAATCTACTAATTAAGATTTTATTTTAATTGTCCACTTTTAATTAATACATTAAATATCAATGGAAAGAAACGTGAACTAAAGTTCTTTGGGTTTGCAATGATTTTAAGAGTGTTAATGTGGTCCTGAGACCAAAACATTTGAGAATTGCTGTCTTATGGCATGAAATTCCTCAAGGAGTTTATAATCTAAATATGGGACACACAAAATAGGGAAAATACTTCACTGCATTCATTCATTCATTCATTCATTCATTCATCATTGTGTGCCTGCCATGGATCAAAACCTTGGGGATAGATGTATAGATATATCAAACAATACAGCAAAATGCCCTGCCCTTAAGTTTTAATGGAGCTTAAGTTTTAATGTGAGTGAGATAGACATAAAGCAAATGTATATACAATATCACAGAGTCATAAGTATATGGAGAAGTACAGGGAAGGGGGTTGGGGACTAGCCTTGGACACGCAGTATGTTTAAATAGGCTAGTCAGGAAGGCTTCATGAAGAGACACTCAGGTAAGATCTGCAGGAAGAGAGGGTACGGGAGGAAGCATGTGGCTGTCTCAGGAAAGAATGTACCAGGTAGGAGTGATAGCAGCACACTAGGGCCTAGCATATTTGAGGGATGGACAGGGAACCACTGTGCCTGGAGTGTGGAAGGAAAAGGAGAGACCAAGGGATGGAAGACAGCAGGTAAGGAAGGGAACAGATGTGTAGGACCTGGTGGAGCTGTTAGCATGACTTCAGCTTTAACAAACGTGGTATGGGAAACTTTTGGAGGGTTTTGAACAGAGTAGGAATGTGATCTGTCTGTCTTTCAACAAGGTCCCCTGGCTACAGGATTGGAAATAGATTCAAGAGAGCAAGGGAAGAAGAGAAGAGGTCAGTTTGGTGTTCTTACAAGCCCAAGCAGGACATGATGGTGGCCCAGGATGGCATCAGTGGATGGTTGGACATCAATTATATTTTGAAAGAATAGCTGGAAGGTGTGTGAAGAAAGCAAGCAAGCAGTCCTAGGGGGACTCTAAGGTTTTTTTTTTGTTTGTTTGTTTGTTTTTTAATTAGAGCAGAGTAGAGCAACTAGAATTGTCCTTTATTAGGAAGGGAAGTGTGTAGGAGAAACAGGCTTGGGTGAAAGTGTCCTGGATGTTTAAAAGTGACAGCCACCATTGTAACAGGAGTGGGCAGTGATGGCTTGCTGGGCTCAGCCAGGTGGGCGAGAAGGAAGGGCTCATTCTAAGATAGGGATGGTACTCCTGGGTGGGAACAGCAAAAGATAGTGGGTGGTCAGGCTCTCCCAAGGCACACAGTACAGTATAAGTTGTGGTTGGCGGTTTCTGCAGGTTAAGTAATTGGGGGTGTTCAAGACTGATGTTTGCTGAGCCTTGAATTAGTACCAGTCCTGTTCTGTTTTCCACTTCCCAGCTCATTTTGTCCTCATGTTGGCCCATTGTGGGAGGAGCTATTAGACCCCATTTTACAAATAAGGCCTTCCCTGACTGCCCATCCAGAACAGCAGACTTCATTTCCTTCCTTACTCTTTGTGACCCTACCCCCTGCCATCTTGATTTCTTTTTCTTTATAGCACTTTAGCATTTGCCTGAAATTATATGATTTATCTAGTTGTTTATATTTTTGTTTATCTCCCCCAGAATAGAAGCTCCATAAGGGCAAGGATTTATTTGTTTTATTCAATGCTGTATATATCCTGTGTCTAGAACAGTGCCTGGCATGTGACAGATGGTTAATAAGTATTTGTTCATTGAAAGAATGACTTAGGCTGAAAAACAATAAAAAGTATAATAAAGCTTACATAGTGAAAAATAAGATTTCTATAGCCAAACCATTTGCAGTTGATGTTCAGAATTTAAAAAGATATATACATATATTTAAAGTTTCATTTATTTTTAAATTTTTAAAAAAGATTTATTTATTTATTTATTTATTTATTTATTTATTCATTTATTTATTTTAGGGGTACCTGGGTGACTCAGTCAGTTAAGTGTCTGCCTTCAGCTCAGATCATGATCTCAGGGTGCTGGGATAGAGTCCTAGAGAAAGGTTCCCTACTCAGTGGGGAGCCCCCTCTCCCTCTGCCCATCTTCCTGTTCCTACTCTTTTTCTCTCCCTCTCAAATAAATAAATAAAATCTTACAAAAAATAAAATAAAGATTTATTTATTTATTTATTTATTTAGAAGAGCATGAGTCAGGGGAGGGACAGAGAGAGTGGGGTGGGGAGAACCCTCAAGCAAACCCTCCACTGAGCATGGAGCCCAGCATAGGACTTAATATCAGGACCCTGAGATCATGACCTGAGCTGAAATCAAGAGCTGGATGCTAAACCAACTGAGCCATTTAGGTGCTCTTCAAGTTTCATTTGTTGAAGATAAATTAAAAAATCTAATTGAAACCTAAAAATCTGATTAATGTTTAATATAACTGCACATAAATTGTTTATTTATAACAATTACTCTCTTTATTTAAATGTACCACATCCTGCTTATTTTGGAATATTTTCCTAATTACCCATGCAAGGTAGGGTTTTGTTTTTGTTTTTGTTTTCATTTTTCCTCCATTGAGTAGAAGGCAAATCAAAGTTTGGGCAGTTATGTTCTACAAGACTGACTTCATATATTTTTAGGGTGAGGTATTATTTGCTTTGGGAAAATTATCCAGATTATTTGTCAAATCTTTTTTTTTTTTTTTTTGAGGGAAAGAGAGAGCATGAGTAGTGAGGAGGGGGCAGAGGAGAGGGAGAAGCAGATGCCCTGCTGAGCCTGATGTGGGGCTTAATCCCAGGACCCTGAGATTATGACCTAAGCCAAAGGCAGACGTGTAACTGACTGACCCATCCAGTGCCCCCCAAATCTTTTGGGGGTAGCTTTTAGGGAAATATTTTATGAGCATCAAAATGTATTTTAGATTTAATTTAAATAGCTATCATTTACTGAAGACCTTCTATATTCAAAGCACTATACCAGGTACTTAATCTCCTTATTTTAAAAAAAGTTGTACTGTTTTTATTTAAAAATTAAGTGTAAAAGATGACCAATATGATCAGTAAAATATTCAATCAATATTAAAAAAATAGAAAGTAAAAATCACCCCAAATTTATTTACTTTTGAAAATAGCTCTATGAAATACATACTCTTGGCTCCACTTAACAGGAAAGGAAACAAACAAGAGAGGAACTAACATCCTCCAGCTGGAAATGTTGCTCAGAGAGGAATATCCAGCCTTACCCACTATCTGAATATGCTTTTCACGACTTCATTGTACTTACTTGGCAGAGGTATGGGTTTGTGATGGATTTGTCTGAAAAGAAGAATTTTCAGATTAATTAAAGGGCAAAGCACAAGATGAGTAAGTTCAACATTTTACTTGCACTGAGGATACTCTGAGCAGAGCCACCACAAAGGAATTAACACAAATGACCAATAAAACATATCTAAAGATAGGAAAGGCACCAAAGTCTTCAAAGTAAGTAACACTGACCCTTCAGTTTTTAAAAAGGAAGAGACTTGACTAAAGTGTTAGATTTTCGTTGAGACCAATACTTCACCCAAATATTAGGTCTTTGTGATTCCCAGCAGTTCTTTTAAAGTTTTCACCTGCTCAACACCTTTTAAAATTTAATGAGCACTGGGTATTATATACAACTGATGAATCACTGAACTTTACCTCTGAACTAGTAATACACTATATATTAATTGAATGTAAATAAAATAAAATTAAAATTAAAAAATTTAATTGCAATGCAATGAAATGTCAGATTTTTATATCAAGCACTATAAGCCAGTGTCACTATGTAGTCTAACAATAAAAGTGTTAGGAAACTTATTTTTAAAGGAAAGGTTTCTTACTTCTGGGTAGGAGGAAACATTGATGATTGCGTATTTTCTTGTCTGTGACTAGATGTTCGGTGGCGTTCAGCAGGTATAGGTTTTTCTGCATTAAGAAAATTCTCATATTAGGCTAAAATGAAATGTCTGTCTCCATGTCCAAACCCAGCAACACCAACTGAGGAGACCAGGATTTAGTTTGATGTCTTCCCATGAACATGTCTTTCACCGGGACACTATCTGTTTATGCATCTGGTGGTCTGGTGATGTGTTTGTACTATTAGGACCAGGACTCCTCCCCAGAGGCGTTACAGGCACATCTTACCATTCTGTGGCAATATACGTGGGGACCGAGCCTGTGGGGTGGACCTTTAAGCGTGTGAGTACAGGTGGCAACCTGAAACGAACAAGTCTGAACCACACCGGTATCCCCTACACAAATGTTATAACACCCTGGAGTATCTTCATTAGTCATAAGAGGTGGTATAAGTAATTTTTACTGATAAGAGGTACATATCAGAGTTTGCAAATAATCTACTCTTTTAAAAAAGTTAATTGAACAAATTCAAGGTCATCCTTATAATAATGTTAATCTCACTTGCGTTTCATTTGTTTTTCTGCGTGGAAGACGAAAGGGTGGAGTTATAACCAGTATATAGGGAAATGGGTATAACCTGAAATGTAAGAAATTTATATTGAACACAGTGAACTTTACTGCTGAACCACTGATAATCTGATTATAAATCACTTTCATGCTTATTCTACCTCAAATTTGGTTTGGGGTTTGTCAAATCTGGATATGTCTATGGGTATGTGTCCCACATGGAAGAAAGGTGAACTCTTGGTCTTCCATTACAGGAACTCAAAAGGAATAAAAGTAGTGCAAACTCAAAGATTCAAATAAATGGTAAGATAGACTTTGGAGTTTCTTGTATTGCAGCAAAATTCAGAAGCCTTGAATCCCTTAAGAATGTTTTAAGTCTGTGGCAAGTTACTTTGAACAGCCGTGTGAGATGTTTTGTTCATGACTTTACAGCTTGCAATTTCAGAAGGCAGAAATAGTAAATACACTTGATTCCTACAGCTGCTGAGCTTTGACCATCTCGCTTTGCCTCTGCATCTTGAAGGCTTCCTTCCTAGGTAAGAAGAGGCTGCTTACCCACATTGGGTTTGGATGATGGTTGCCTCTGTTCTTAAAACAAGTCACAAAACAGATGAAATGCCAAGCTCTTGCACTAGGAGCCCTTTGGCAGTGTGGACACCCAAGCTGCGTGGGGGTATTCACAAGCTCTTTCTCTGCTGGTTTTCAAAGTCCCCTGAAGCCAGTGGAATCTGCACAAGGTTGAGCTTATTTCCTGCAGAGGCTTACCCCAAGACTCCACTATTATTTGAGCTCACTGTTCAACAAGCATGGAAAACTGTAAGGAATGGAAGGACAGCAAGACAAAAGCATCAAAGGACAAGCGGACAAAAGCAAGACACCAGAAAGGCAATGATACCTCTGAAATAACCTGGAGGAGAAAAGATGTGGGAAATAGATGTAAAAAATCCCCAGTGGAGCAATTAAAGCAGACAGGCAAGTTGTAGAACACATTCAGAAAATGCCCACCAGTCATCACCAGAGAAAACAGGACATTTTATGTATATGTGCCCATGTTAACTCAGGAAATGGTGAGAACACTCACTCAGCTTTAACATTGGGTAGCTTCAGTTGTGAATTAGATGGGTTCAGGACTTAAGGTATAGTGCTTTAAGTGTTGAGATTATGGATAATTCTTACTTCTTTCTCTTTTTTTTTCCCCCGGTATTTTTCAAATATGAGTAATTTTTAAATGGGAATATTCGAATTAAAAGAATATATATTAGATTTTTAGGATATGATAAGATGAAGGAAAACATTTGGAGATGTACTAAAACAGACATTTGAATTCAGAAAAAAATTTTGAAAACAGCATAAGAACTTTTTCAAATAAGCAGATTTTTAAAAATTTCATTACCTTAACTAAGCTATTAGTTCTAAGAAATGTGAATAGCTCTGAATAAGGCCTCATATTTATGTGAAGTGATGGTACTGTTTCTGGCAAGTCATATGTCTACAAACAGGCAGGTTTGGGGCATATAAACTATAGCCTGGCCCCAAAGACACTGGACTGAAAGCTCAGGTCCTTACTACTCATTGCAAAGTGAAGGCCATTTTGTTATTGCCTTATAAACAGTGAAAGCAATTTAGAAATACACTTATGTACAAATCCTTAATTAAAATAACTGTAAGAGGATATATTCAGCCTTCAGAATAATATAGTTTACCTTCACAAATGCTTGAGGCATTCTGTGTAGAGGCAACTGGAGTCTATTTAAAAAAAAAAAAAAAGGCAAGGATATTCAATACAGTAGAATGTGGAAATAAATGTTAAAGAGATATAATTAAAATAAATATTTAGGGAGAACATTTCTTTGATCATAGCTATTCTTTCAATCACAACAATAAAAAAACACACAGTTCCCAGACCAACCTTTCCAATAAGTGACAATGGACTAGGGACTTCCTGGCTCTGTCAATAGGGTTGATGGATACTGTGGTCCCCAGTAGCTGCTGGCCAGTAGGTCTTGCATAGTGGGAAAGTGTCACCTGGCTTTGGTCTTAGAACTCCACCTCAGTGTTTGCTAAATGACTGTAAATGTCAGGTTACAGAGCAGGTACTAGGTCCAGGTGGGCTTCCTCAAATAGTGGGCTGGCCCAGGTTCCCTGAAAATTCTGGCCAGAATCTGAGTTTAGTCAGGCCAATGTGTGCCTGATACACCATTAGCTCCCAGACCAGCAGATGGAAAGCAGACACAGGGGCTCCCTGTGGGGAAGACAGATGTCAGGGGAGGCAGGGAGCCTGGCTTCCACCTTGGATCTGCCGCTCACACTCAGTGAAGCCACCCTGGGTCAAGTGAGGATGAGCTCCTCCCACGCAGCATCTTCCCTGGCTAACCAAGAACACTGAATTTCTCTTGGGTAGTCTGGGCAGCAATTTCAGTTGCTAAGATTGCTGGGTTCACCTTATCTGGAAGCATTGTCAATTTTAAATAAGAGAACAAGAATAAGCATTGCAGGAGATATGAAACATTTAAATGCAAAATTAACTTACTGTCTTCAGTGGTGTAGCTGGTTTTTTCCTGAGGGATAAAAAGATTGGGCTTTGTTAAAACATAACAAAGATAAAGTAGAGCTGACTACTTATCATTTTACTCTCAAATTTAAACTAGAATAATAAATATGATATGAGTGTGTTGAAAGACTGTCCTTGAAGGCCAAGGGGGATGGAAACAGGATTTAGCTGTGATCCTCCTAGCTTCAGATAGGGTCCATGGACAGATGGCAAAGAGTTAATTGGGGATAAATAGGAGCGCCAGTTGTCAGGGAGTCAGGAAAACAATTCTCGTTCCAGTTCTGCTGCTGATTACTCTGTGACCTCAGGCCTCTTTCTCTTGCCTGTAAGGCTGGTTGGAGCTTTAGTTTCCTCATCTATAAAATGAGGACTAGCATCAGTATTTTCAAGACATGTATGCAGAGCCCTCCCATCCTCCAACAGCACCCTCGGGCTACAGCCCAGGGCCTCGGGTGGAGATAGGCGGACAGCCTGGCAGGTGAGGCTACCGCAGGCACCTCCCCTGCCAACTGCTGCCCTGCCTCTAGTGACATTTTCTACTTGACATCTGCCTAGGATTTCATCCCGAACAGAGAAATCCAAGACCAACATAAATGTGAAAACCTTTGTGATCTCTGGTCCTGAAGGGGCTTTTTGAGCTAATGTTCTGGTTTGTTTTGGTAGAGACTGTAATCTCATTCTGTAAGGGTGTATGCTTCTCTTCTGTGTTTATTTTAAAGACACTCTCACCTTTTCTCTCTCTCACTTTGTTTTTGGCTGAGAGCTGGAAGATTGGGGGAAGAACACTAACAATTCTTAAGTGCCTGGCACTGGGTTAAGGCTTTTCATATGTTATTTAAACCTCACAGTGACCTCTAAAAATGGCTATTATTGTTACATTTTAGAGATTGGGAAACTGTGGCTCAGAGAGTTTAAGTAACTTGCCCAAAATGATAAAGCTGAGCCAAGCGAGAAGTTTTGGTTAAACCCTTGAACTTAAGAATGTCTTTGCTTTGGGGTGCCTGGGTGGCTCAGGAGATTAAGCTTCCTGACTCTAGGTCTGACTCTTAGTTTAGGTGGTGATCTCAGAGTGATGAGATTAAGCCCTGTGTTGGGCTCCAAGCTCAGCATGGAGTCTGCTCAAGATTTTCTCTTCCCCTGCCCCTCTATACCCCCCTATCTCCCACATGTGCTCTCTCTCTCTCTCAAATAAATGAATAAATCTTAAAAAATAAAAAATAATGTCTTTTTTTTAAAATAATGTCTTTAAGTAGAATTAAGTTTATAATCATGCAGGCCAGCTTTGCACATATTTAAGCATATTTTTAAACTAACCTATTGAATCAATATAAAATTATGGGGTCCCTTTGTGATATTAACATATTATATCTCCTAACAGTTTACAAAGCTCTTTTAAATCCAATAAGAAAGAATGACTCTCTTGTATCACCTTTGAAAGGAATCTCGGCAGTGTGGCCTTGATTGAACAACCCAGTGTATGCTGTTGGGTATATATGTGTTTGTTTATAGCTCACTAACTACTTGAAAGAGAAGTGGAGGAGTTGAAAGTAAAGATGAAACTTGCTTATGGGTCTCAAAACTATTCAGATGCTGGAGCTTCTGTCTTACGGAACACAAGTCAATTTAACTAAAAATTTAGGAAAGGAAAGACTGTTAGTCTTAATTTCAGCAGGGGACCCCTAGTCCGACTTGAAGCATGCCATAGGGGTAGAGAAGAACAGGGCAGTGGGGTTTCATTTCTACATCTTTTAGGAACACACCTATTGTAATGTGAGGTACACCTATATCTGTGCTTGGGCAGGTATGCTCTTCTGGACGGAAATAGCAGAAAAGCACCAACTTCCCCCCAGGTTTGCAGGCTGGACCCCTTTGTGGATTCCAGGTAGGCCGACCCACAACAGTGGTGGAGACCATCCACTCACATCTCACAGAGCTGTTCCTGCACAGCAGGTACTCACCCAGCCCTGGGCAGTGGGGATGGTGCAGCAGGAGAAGATGACTTAGCATCCCAGGCTCCACTGTTATGACCTGCACAAACATACACACAGGTCAGTCTCCAACTCCTGAATCTGAGGCTGATAGTGACAGTGAGACTGGCCTTCCTGATAGGCTCAGAAATACTGGCACATTTTTGGGTTTCTTTCAGTTAAGCATGAATAGGTGGTTATATGGATGCTATTGGGGAAATCTGTAGACAAAGGTGAGATATATATATATATATATGATGTCAATTTATACTTGGAACCAGAATGTGAATTAGGAACTCCATCTTGACATTTCTAAACAACTTTCTCTTTTCTCCCATGGGGCAAGTGCGGAGTCCCCTGATTCTGCAGGTTCAGTGAAAGGCCCACAAGATTCCTACAGGAAAGAGCCAAGAACACGCATGTGCATCTATATACACTGCACAGCTGTGCACATCAGTGGTGCCTAGGGATGGAGAGACACAGACCCATCACTCCTGCTACATGCCTATAGGCATTGCTTTTCATGATCACACTGACATATACTATACACATAGTAACCTCACATCCAGAGGTTGTTCATTCACCTCTGAATTCTCAGGGCCTTTGCCCATTGCACTGATAGAAAGATTGAGACCAATGACAAGCTACTGCCCAAATTGCATCTTCCAAAGCCACAGAAGAGACCCTGAGCACCTTGTCCACTGTATCTCATTTCCCCTCTGGCTACCTAAGACAGAAAGCAGACAATCACAAGGGAAGAACCGAGAGATAGGCAGAGCTTCACCACCAGACAGAGCAGGCCTGGAGGGGGAGAGCCAGATGCCTAAGCCTGCTTCTCTCAGTGTCTCCTGCCTGCCTCCTCTCATGCTGATGCTCACCTGCCTGGACACTATGGCTCTTTATTGAATATATTGAACCGAATATATATTTTATTAAGAACCTACTATATTTCTAAGTCCACAGCTCCTATTGGACCTACAGAGGATACTCTGTAAATATAGGTTGGACATGTCCTCAGGATGCATTATTTTAATTTGCAAGATAAAGCACATATAGCTGAGCACTGAGGAAATAGTCATTTACTAAAAATTATTGAGAACCTGGTATGTGAAGAACACTGTGTTAGGGGTTGTCAAAGAGGTAGAGAAGCAGAACTAGGCCTCTGTCCCCCCAGAACTTATACTGTGAGGATATGCACACACCATGCCACCTCATCTGACAGAACCGCCCATCCCAAACACAAGAGCTTCAAGAACTATTACAAATAGAGGTCATAAAACTCATTCTCATGTATTTTACTAGAGAGAGGCCTTCAGGCTTTCACTCAGTGCCCATCCACTCCTCTTCTACATATGGTTCTTACACAGGGCTAATTTCCATGAATGCTTATAAATGAAAAGAACAGTCAAGAGTGCATAGTGTTGACTCTCTAGCACTCCATGAGGAAATGGGCGCTCTATGTGACTCTCACTAAGGTGCTACCCGACCTTGATGTGACTTTTGAAAACATTTAGAAAAAGAGACTACATTTGGAATTTTTAATATTTCATGTGACAATAAACTTAAATGTCATCTGGACTATGAATCCAACTGTGTTTCATTGGCTAGGGTACCAAATGGATGCTGTTCTTCAAATTCTTAACACCTGATTAACCATATTAAAATATCCTTGGCTACTCATAGATTTTGATGGAAGATTTCAGGGAAGGGGAAAAAAAAACCTTGTCTGAAAAATGAGGAAGTAGAAAGAAGGCCTAAGTCAGAATTTCCTCCCAGGGGTTTTCCCTCTTTTTCACTGCCAAGGGTTCCTTTGGCTTGAGTATATTGTTGTTGTCATATTTACTGCCTAGTTTCTCTACTAAGCTTCCCTTCCCTTCATATCTTCAAACAGTCTGCCAACATGTTCCTTCCCTCTTCCTTCCTCATAAATCACTTCTGCAATAAGAGAGGGAGAAGCATGCCGCTTTCCTCTGTGGTGGTAGTATGAGTGCTGGTAGAAAACCGATGGTGTCTCATCAGGAAGACAGGGTTCTAGTTATTTCTTGGCCACCAAACTGGCTAGGTGTCCCTTTACAAACTGACTGGGTGGCCACTGGTGTTCCAGTGTCCCCCTCTGTGAAATGGGGACACAACCAGCTACATTACCTAACTCAGAGTTATTGTTGTAAGGCAATGGGAGAACTTTGAAATTGTAAAGAATCAGCCAAATAAAAACTAATATTGCTGGAAAGGAACTGAAAATATATGAGGTTAAAAACATGCTAAAGTGAAGAGAGTCAGACGGGGAAGGCTTTATACTATATGACTCCATCTATATGAGATGTCCAGAAAAGGCATATCTATAGCAACAGGAAGCAGATCCGTGGTTACCTGGGGCTGGCAGTGGGAAGAACATTCACCAAAAATAGGCATAAAGGATCTTTTGGAGTTGGGGTGGGCATGGAAATTTTCTAAAACTGGATTGTTGTGATGGTGGAAAAGCTCTGTAGATGTAATGATTTATAAAAATGCCACATTATACATGTAAAATGAGTTGAGTTTTATGATGTGTATGTTATAACTCATTAGGATCTCAGTAAATGTGATTATTGCTATTTTTGTTTTAGCATCTTGTTATCAACCACCACAGTGTCTCTGGGTGCTGGGCACTATGCCGGGTACTTTAAATGTGCCGTCTCTAAGCCTCCCATAACATCATGTGGAGCAAACAGAGGCTCAGAGAGGTTAAGTGGCAGGGCTGGGGTTGAACAGCGAGGCTAGCTGAGTTTAAAGCCAGGTGGACATGTTCCTCTCCAACCAATGCCTATTAATATTACTCTAGGCTGCAATTTGGCAGCTCAGATTCACTTGCTCTTTCTACCTTATGTGGGAAAGATTAGTGAAACAGAGTGGTGTTTTTGTGAATGCCCACGGGAAGATGAAAATTGACTTTCTTATTTCATAGGCCAGTCACCTTCTCTGCTGCTCTGGGCCTGAAGTCAGACCCAGGGGCATAGCTGGGGTAGGACAACCTGGTCCCTTCTGTGACCGGGGTTCTTGCTTTCTGGCAAAGCCAAATTCTTGGCTGTGACACTCCAAAGAAGAAACTGGGAATTTGATAAACGGAGATGTGTCCAAAAGTATAATAAAAAAGAAAAATCAGCTTTGTTTTCATTGTATTGAGCAAAAAAATGATGTTAATATTTGCACAGCTGGTGCTTACCAAAGTTTCTCAACTGGGAAAATGACCTACTCGTAGTTTTTCCTTCTACCGCATCATCCTCTCTTCACTCTTGCATGCGATGGTGGCAAGTTTCCTTACCCGTAACAGTCTCAATGCTGGAATAGTAAGCCCTTGGGATTTTACTCTCTTCTAGATGTTCAAGAAACCCTATTATTATTAGTGGGGCTTGTGCACCAGCTGGAGTGTCCCTTACTCTCAGGCCCTGCATGAGCGCTGCCAAGTAAAGAGATCTAATTTAATAGCTTCAGAACAATTTGGCTTATAGGTAAAATTCAACTTGCATATTGGCAGGGAACTGTAAATTCCCAAACTCCCCCCACCCACCCACCCATTTTAGGAAATGAGGAGAGAGAACACTTTTTAAATGCTACCGACTTAGAGGAACTTCAGAAATGCATGCCCTGTCTACCCATTTCTGACAAAAGCTACAAATAAATTAGGGTCTCCACAACTTTCTTCCAAATCACATTTAAAGATAAATCACTAAAACACTTCAGTCTTTCCGTTTGTTTAAACCAGTGCTTCTCAACTAGGAGTATTTGGTACCCACCCCCTCCGTGGGGAGGGTGGAGTACCTTTGGCAATGTCTGGACACATCTCTGTTTAGCGCTACTGGGGAGGGGATGGTATTGGTACTTAGTGGGCAGAGACAGCCAAGGATGCTGCTAAACATCTCACAGTACACCGGACAGCCAGGACAACAAAGAATTATCTAGCCCCAAATGCCAGCTGTGCAGAGGTCAAGATACCCTCAGTTACATTAAAACTCTATGCGGAAAGGAAGAAACAACTGTCTCCTGGGATGGGTCCAGGACACTCCTCCAGACTGGTCATGAATCAAGGCATGTGAAGCAAAGGATTCCAAAAACTGGCAAACAGAGCTATCAGTTTAGGAGTGGGATTCATATATGTTTACTCAACTTAACCTGCCCTGCCTCTTCCCCCGCCGCACGACTTAGGCACAGGTGCCATTTCCTTCTTCAGAGGAGGAGACTAAGAAACAGAGATTGATCAGCTTGTTTGAAGTCTGGCACCTAGTGTGCGTCAGAGCCAAGATCATAGTCCTTTGGCCTTGGAGTCTGTGTGGTCCTGAAACAGCGCTTCTCCATGTGGAACATGGAGCAGAAGCAGTGACTGCCACTGCACCTAATCCTCTGTGTAATCCTTGGCAAGCGCTTTATGAGCCATCAAAGAGCCAAAAGCAACATCCATTAATCAGAGTCCAGTGTTGTGGTGTGCTGCTCTGATAGAAATGCAGATCTGAAGCCTTAGCACTTTCATGATGCCTATCTAGCACTGCCTTTAAAGGCTAGTGGAGGGTTATGGAAAGACACAGGGAAGTAGTCTGGTTATTCCTTTTGTAAAAACCATCTCTGAAGACTGTTTGCATATTCAGAAAATCATTCTAACTGTTCAGGTTTGTCCCTCCCAAATTATCTCACTTCCTTCCTCCTCCTGTACTTCTTCTCATGCATATCCAACAACCATATAACCAGGAAATTATTTTTTTGTTCAGATTTGGTTTCTTCTGATGCCTCTAGTATTAAAATATAGTGATACTAGATTAATGTAAAATTAATGAATAATAAATTCAACGGGTTAATGCCCCGATGATGGCACCATGTAATTCTTCAAATACAGCCAGTACTGGGGGACACATTCACTCTCAACCAAATGACTAAACCACCATTTCAGCACCTATTCTGATTCAGGTCCTGTATAACCCCTGGAAGCACATCTACGAGCAAGACATGGAGCTGAGGGTCTTATAGAAAAGACAGGCAGAGATCTCTGGGGAGATTAGAGATAAAGGGGCAGGGCAGGGCACTATAGGGGTGGATACCAAAGGGATCTATCTTCTTTGTGAGGTCAGGAAAGGCCTCCTGAACATGTGAGATGTTAAGGCAATATCTTTAAGGAGCTTGTAATGTACTTTTTTAAAAGATTTTTAATTTATTTTTTCATAGAGACACAGAGAGAGAGAGAGAGAGAGAGAGAGAGAGAGAGAGGCAGAGACACAGGCAGAGGGAGAAGCAGACTCCATGCAGAGAGCCTGACGTGGGACTTGATTCAGGGTCTCCAGGATCACATCCTGGGTTGCAGGCAGTGCTAAACCGCTGCACCACCGGGGTATTTAAGGAGGTTAGACTGAGACCCAGCGTAATTGGAGAATAGGAATGGGCTGAGTGTAGATGGGATGAGACTTAGAGCAAAGGAGAGCTCTCTGTGGGCTGCAGAAACCACAGGTTTCCTAGTGGAGAGACCTCAGGCTGGGCCTTAGGTAGGATTTGGTATCATAAAAGTGAGAACATAAACAAAGGCCAAAAGGTACAGGCTGTTTGGAGTACCGGGTGTGTTTTAGGAAGAAGAGGTCTTTGCAAAGTAAGAAGAACATTTTAAGATGCAGACACCAGAGATGATTAAATTGTCATTGTAAAGGAGGTCCTAGGCCTTCATTTACACTTTAGGGAAAGGTTTTCTGTTCTGGTAATAACCCTTCTTCCAAGTTATCAGGAGTCAGGTGTCACCACTTCATCTGGGACCAAAGTGACCTTGCCATGACATTTTAGGTTGCTGCATTGACATTTGTTCCCAGAAGTTAAGATGAGCTGGATATGGTGGCTCTGATCTCTTCTCCCTACACATAAAGAGCCTGTGGGTTATGAGAGAGAGAATAAATAAGACAAGAATTTGTGAAGAAGGTGAACAATTGCTCAAGAAATGAGTCTGTGGTCTATAAAAAAAATAACCTCCTTTCATTTTCCTTCAAAGAGCACATCCCTAGAAGCAGAGCTCAGTCTCCTAGTATCTGTGTTCAGCCTTCAGTGCTGAGAGGGAAGGGAGTGTGTGTGTGTGTGTGTGTGTGTGTGTGTGTGATAGATATGGGTGGAGCTGCGAAAAAGAAGAGAAGGGCTGGAGAGAAAGCTCCTGTGCTTCTGTGCTGGAACAGGGTGGGGTGTGGGTGCCACTCAGCATCACAGGCTTTGGCCTTGGGACTGCCAATCTGTACAGCAGACAACTAGGAACCACTGGGTGTTCATGGTTTGGGTACAGGTGACATGGCAAAAACTAACTTTGAAATGGAATAAAACTGGCAACATTTGGAGTCACTCAGAAATTCATCTTAATGACTGAGGAGAAAGCCTACAGGCAAGGGTAGAGATTGGCTAGTGCACTCTTGAAGATGGGACATAGGACATGTGAAGTGACAATGTAAAGGAAGCCTAGACTACAGTGGTGTCAACTAAAATGGAAGAGCAAACTCAGGAAAAAGACATAGCAGGCTCTGGAAAGAACACAGGTCCTTGGACATGTGGCCTGTGGGCTGATAGGCACAGAGGAATAGGCCTGCCCTATGGGTAGGGAGGTGATGAATGCATTGAGCTTGAGGCTGTGAGAATGTCAAGTCGTTCAGAAGAGAAATCAGGTCAAAGTTAGACACCAGAGAGTAATTGGCTTAGACAAGAGAGGTGAAACCAGAAGAATAGATGAACCCCAAAGACATGAAAGATAATATTCTTTCTTGAGCACCTGCTGTGCCATGTACTGCATTGAAGCTTTCCCATGCACAATTCCAGAATTCTCCTGTCACAGGTCAGGGACTCTTATCTCCATTTGCAGAGGAAAAAATCTGAAGAGTGGAGATCCAAAGGACAGACCCAAAGTGGTATAGCCGGCAACTGGGAGCACTAGGATTCCAATCCGGCTCCATCTCGTCCAAACTCAAGGTCTTAGCCACCATACTTCTAGAAGAAGAGTAGAGGGCTGAGGACCCAACAGTGCAAACACCCTCAGTCAGTGCAGGGGAGGAGGAGAAGCCGGTGAAATGCCCAATGAGGTTGGAGGAAAGCCAGGACTTGTCTAACAGAGGTCTGAAAGCATGGGGCAGGGTCCCTTTGACACAAGTGCCACCAGACAATGCATGAAGATGAGGACAAGGCCTTCTGTCACAATATATTAAGAAATTTGGAAATACAAGTGATTATTTCTTAATATTTGATCTGAGTTGTTTATCTTATTTGAAATAGACTGGAAAACCAAACCCCCAAACAATCACTTCACACACAAAAACCCGAAACACCAAATCATGCATATACTTTACCTGAAGCTGTCCCTGGAGGAGAGGCTGGCTTTGAGGAGTTACTTGGCTTGGTGGATCTATTCACCATGGGAGCTTAAACACACAAATATATACATACATATAACAATCATAGATACAGTCTATTGTGGGAGATTCACACTTAATGGAAAAATGCATTGTGGAAATAGTGGGGCAGATCAGGGAATTTGTAAAGAATGGGAAACCCACCTGTTAAATACATAAGCCATGAAAGAAGCCTGAAGAAACTTCTTCAGAATAAATATACTAATGATAAAAGGGATAATCAAATTATTTTATTATAGGGATTTTGTTAAAATGAACTCTGGCTTGGAATTTCATTTGCCAAACTGGTGGTCTAGGAGATGAGAGAGTTTTGTTTTCTTCATCGAGAGAAGTGTATCAAACCAAGAGTGAAGGGAACAAATTCTCACCTCCCCTGCCACATGCAACACAGACCATTTCTCTTGGATTTTATGGGGTTTGGGGGTGGGGAGCAATTTCTGGTTTCATGGTGATGAGTGGCTCAGGAATTCAAATGGGTCTTGAAGCTGTTGGTGATGTTCAGAGAGGCCAGGAGAGGGTTGCTACAGAAGGGTAGAGTAAAAACTGATTATGACAACTTGAGAGTTGAGTTTGTTAGATGAGTAGGCATCGTTTCTACAGGATCCTATCCTCCGCAGCAACTAGATCCACAGTGAACATGTTATGCTGCACTCCTGGCCTGAGGGTAGATGGCACTGTCTTTTAAAGAGAATTTGTCTTCACACGTGTTATTCCATGAAGGGATTACAACCAAAACAGCTTCCATCACCTAGATAGCACTACATTTCAAGAGTCAGGACACAGAGAGGATTTCGCTTTCTCATTTCTTCTGTCCTCCGTGGACATTGTTCTGGTGCAATACTTTTGAGGCCAACACTGTGGCCTGCAGCTCTGCGAGGATTGAGTTCTATGAGAAATCCATTCTAAGTGAGGACAGTTAACTAAGAACCTAGATGTTTTCCTAATTTGAGCTGGGAGGATTAAAGCACCAAAGTGGATGGAGGCAGAAGGGTGTGACAGAGATGGGTCTCTCGCAGATGCTCTGCTCCACCCAGGGAGACAGATGCCGCCACCATGGAGGATAGAGGCCTGGGCCCCACGCATTGTGCACCCCTTGCTGCTTGCTACCAGATAATCTCAGACACCCCCCTCAACCACTAAACATTTCAAGTGCTTAAAACTACAAACTCTTGCCTTTTTCTGCCGGGAGCGAACTGCCTTCTGTGGGGTGAATGTAGTTCTCATCTCCATCCTCCACAGGGACCACATAATCCACCTGGAAGAAGTACAGAGGTGAATGAGGAGGGAGCTGTCCACTCTGGCCAGGTTTATTATCTGGGAAGGAGTTTTTTTTTTTTTTTTTTGATACCTTTATTGAGATCTAATTCAGATACCATTAAATTCCTCTCCGTGTAGTGTAGAACTTGGTGGGTTTAGTGTATTTGAAGAGTGTGCAAGCATCACAACAATTTAATTTTAGAACACTTTCATTGCCCCCAAAAGGAGCCCTGTCACCTCTCACCTACCACTTCCCCAACCTAGTCAACTACTAATCTACTTTCTATCACTAAGATTTTCCCATTCTTGGCATCACATTAGAAATGGAATCACATAATGTGTAGTGACTTCTTTCATATAGTGTACTAATTTCAAGGTTCAACCATGTAGCATATTAGTACTTCACTAACTTGTGTGGCCAAATAATATTCTGTTATATAAATATACTGCATATTGTTTATCCATCTGGTGGGGGACATTTGGGTTGTTTTCACTTTGGGGGCTATTATGAATCATGATGCTAAGGACATTCATGTACATGTTTTTGTGTAAATGTGCATTTCTCTTGGGAATATACTGAGTGGTGGAATTGCTGGGTCATATGGTAGCTCTCTGTTTAAGTTTGAGGAACTGCCAAACTGTTTTTCCAAAGTTTTCCATTCCATGCACTCTTTTCCATTCCTACCAGCAGTGTAAGAGGGCTCCAGTTTCTCCACTGAGAGACACAAAGGGAGAGGCAGAGACACAGGCAGAGGGAAAAGCAGATTCCCTGCAGGGAGCCCGATGCAGGACTCCATCCCAGGACGTTGGGATCATGATCTGAGCTAAAGGCAGACCCTCAAACACTGAGGTGGTGCCCCCCTTTTTATACCTCCTTTAGGTAAAAGCCTCTATGACTTCTTTGCCTATTTTTTAGTTAGGTTATTTGTCTTCTTCTTTTTTTTTTTTTTTTGTCTTTTTTATTATTAGGTTGGAAGAGTTCTTTAAATGCTCTAGATAGAAGTCTCTTATCAGGTATACAATTTGCAAAAATTTTCTCCCATTCTGTAGGTTATCTTCTTACTTTCTTGGTGGTGTCACCTGCAGCACCAACGTTTGACATTGTGAATTCCACTTTATCTATTTTCTCTATTGTTGCTCGTGCTTTTGGTTCTATATGTAAGACACTCCTGTCTAATGCAAGGTTGTAGAGATTTATGTCCTTGTTGTTTTTTAAGAATGTTATAGTTTTAGCTCTTACATTTACATCTAGGATCTATTTTTGGTGATTTTTTTTTCTATGGCAGGACATGGGTCCACTCTCACATTTTTGCATGTGAATATATAGTTATCCTGGCACAATTTGTTTAAAAATGATTCTTTCACCACTGACTGGTCTTGGCAACTTTGTCAATAATCAGTTGACCATAAATTAGGGGAGGAAGTGATTTTATATTGATAGGAAGCCAAGGAGATAATCAGATCCCAAATGTGGTTTTTTGCAACCCATCTTGGTGGGTAGCCCAGATGGATTCTAGAGAAACAAAATCCAAACATTTATTGAGCACTTATTAGCAAGTGTGCACCTGAGTACTTTACATGTGTTATTTCACTCAATCCTTACAACAACCCAATAAGGTAGGTGCTACTGTCAGCTCCACCTCATGAAGAAGAAACTCGAAGAACCCAAGGCATAGAGCAGTCGAGTAGCTTTCTCATGTCCTAATAGTTAAAAAGTAGTAGAGCTGGGATTCAAGAATCAGTTCAAGGATCCAGTGCCCATACTCTTATCCACTACATTCTAGGACCTTCTTGCCTTCCCCTTCTCTTTCTCCCCAATTTCTACCCTCTCTTCATTTAATTGCTATTGCTCATCTCTTTCTTTACCTCCAAATCTGACTTCTGTGACGTTGGGCAAGTTTTTCAACCCCTTTGCACCTCATCTGTTCCATTTTATTATCTATAAAATGGGGATGATAGTACCCATTTCATGGGGTTCTTGGGAAGGCTTGATGGAACAAATATAAAGCCCTCAGAACACCAGTTGATTTCTAGCACTCACTAAGTGCCAACTACTCTTGTCCTTATAGCACAAATGCTTCTTCCTCCTACGTTTTGTTCCCTTCAACTCTCCAGTTAGCCTGTACCCCCATACTTTTCCTGTAATTTGTACAGCAGAGCTAAATATTTTTAGTTATTTATGCGTGCTTGACTTCTTCTTTTCCTATCTGATGGTTCAGGCAGATCTTAATGTTGGCCTATTTTTTCTTTTTTAACCTCTTTCTTATCTTGAGTGTCCATCTGCCCATTCCAGAATGCAGCCTCCTCCATACTTCTCCTTTTCCCACTGGTTCAGACGTGCCCCAGCCACCTCCACAAGGCTGGTATTAGCAAAACTTTGCGTCTCCCCACAGGGGTCCACTGTCAACTGTTCACGGAAATGGAGAGCCTTATATAACGTACCACCGTATTCATCCATATTCTGTGTCTGAATTTATATCTTCATATGGATTTGCCAAATGCTGAAAGAATTTACAGTGAGCCCCTAACAGCAGGTCTCTGCATCCTGTCTCCTGCTCAGCTTCTTCCTGCCAGCCTCTTCTCACCCCAAAAAGTCAGCATTGCCTCTCAGACAGACAGACTGAGGGTTGGCAACCCATCCTTTCTCTCTCTGTCAGCTGCCTCTCTGACTTAAATGGGCCCTAGCATAGAAGTCAGAAACTAAACCACTTCCAGAGGCAGGCAGGAGACAGTTATGGGGACGGGTGCAGAGGAAGGATGCGTGCACGCCTCATATGAGGGGTGGGAACTATGACCAGTGGAAACAGGGGTCAGGGATTGCCATGAGGCTCAGCTGCTTTGAGGCCACAACTGGCTCAGTGTTGCCAGGCTTTCAGTTTTCAGGAGAAGCTAGAAAATTGGATTTTGTAAAGAATCTAGAACATGCTTAGAAAGGAATATATGGCACATGGAGTGCTTCCACGTATGAGGCACTGTATTTAGTGCTGTATATATGTTCTCTTACTAAATCCTTAAAGCAACCTAAAGAGATTAAAAACTGAGGCTCAGAGAGGTTATCCAGCTTGCCCAATGTCACACAGCTAGTAAGGGTCAAAGCAGCAATTTGGGTCTAAACATTGCCTCTATCTTATTTAAAAGTTTCTCTTTTCCAATTCCTGCTGGGCTACAAATCATATTAAGGTGCAAATGTAGGTTGTTGTACAACATGTTTATACATTATAGGTTTTGTCACCTATAGGCATTTAGAAACAAGTTATTTCTTCAAAAGCTGTGGTAAAATTATGTCCAGGCATATTTAAGAGTTGCCTTTATTGTTATTTTGCTTCTGAGGCTGTTCAACTTGTAGGGTTGTTCTAATGGCTAAGTTTGGGGGCTTGCCTTTGTCCTTATTTAAAACGCAAGGACCTCTGGAGCCACAACAGATTTAAGCCTTATCAGTCATTCCCACCACAGTCTGAATGAGTTTATTGGTTCCTTTTCAAACGGGAGCTATTCCATAGGGAGGAAGACTCATAAAACCTGGATGCTGACAGAAGAGAGATAATGAGCTAAACCCAGGATGGAGTCCTGGACAATCTGCAAAGGTGGGTCCCTGGATAGTAGTGGCTGAGGTGCCGGCTCCTCCATAGGTTGGGTAGGGCCTCCCTAGGACAAGCGGTCTCCATCATTTGCCCACATACCTGTACATCTTATAGGAGAAACATGGAGAAGCAGAGAGAAAAGAAGATAGAGGAAAGAAAGCAAGGCAGACAGGGCAGAGAAGCAAAGGACAATAACGATAGGGAAATCTCTTATGAAGGAAGAAGATTGGCAGGAAACCAAGGAGAGAGGGGGGAGGCTAGTAAGAAGGGCACAGATCCAGTACTGGTATTACCCATGGAGCATGGGAGTGAAAATCCTTAAAATAAGGCCACATATGCCCTTTTTAGGGAGAAAAAACCCCTATTGGTTTACCAGTGGAAAGTTAGAGGGACGGGTGGCAAGTGCTGGCAGGAGAGTAGGGGACATGGAGGAGGAAGGCATGCCAGAGGCCAGACCATCCAGGCCCTTTTCCCCCTCCCCCTGCATCCGCTTTCCACTTCGTTTCGCAGCGAAGCCTGGGGGACAGATTTATGTTACCTCATCCTCAAGTTCCCTGGGTTTGGGTGGGACTTGAGGTTTCTGAAGAGAAGTCAGAGCCGGCAGAGTGGAGGTCAGCCTGGCTTTTGCTTTTGGCGGAGGCCAGTCGGGCTTACTGGGAAGTGTCATGCTGATGGGCGGAGACTGCCTCTGGCTTGACCGATTGTCTTGAAAGGAACAACAACAAAGTAGAAGATGAAAGGGGCTCTGGATCATTCCCTGGGCCAAAGAATAAAACCACCACCAGCGTCTATGTAGTCACAAATGATTAATCAGGGCATCCCTTAAAAGTGTAAAATGGCATTTAGGCAAAAAATTTCAACTCCCTGTTGACTTATGTTATAAAAACCAACAGAATGTCCTCACCAAAAACATCCTCCCAGGGGAGTGATGGAGACCCACCAACTCAGGAGACCCAACCGCCTAGCACTCTGCCAAACACAGTGGATGGATGACCTTGGCAGGGAAGCCTAAGAGGAGTGTGCTCCTCAAAGGTTCACTTTGCTCCATGAACACTTATGGATAGTGATCCTCAATCTTCCTTACACACAAGAACCACCTGGGGAACGTTAAGAAAATGCCAAGGCTCAGGCCCCACCCCAGACACACTAATTTGAACTTGAGGGGAGGGTCCTGGCATTATAGGTTTCAAAAGTTTTCCAGCTTTTTCTAAGTTGTATTCAGGGTTGCAACTACCCATCTGAGTGAACCTACACGTTCTTCCCCTCAATGATTTCCCTCAAATCATGGCGTGCCCGTGAGTTACCCCTCACTGGGGACTGTGTCCTAGGCATGCGTCAGGGAAGGAGCACAGGATCCAAAGCCAAATGGTCTTGAGTTGGGTCCCCTGCTCTGCCTCTCACTGTCTGGGCTCGTTTGGGCTAGTTATTTATTATTCAACCTCTCCAGGACTCACATTTCTCATTTTTAAAGTGAGGATCCTAATAGCCATCTTAGAAGGGTTTTTGTGGGGATTAGGAAGAAAGCAGTGGAAACAGTGTGTCTGGCAGAGTGGAGGCCTAACAAACAGGACTAAGACACCAACAGGACCCAGTGGAGGAGTGAGGCAATGGAGTCTGTACAGTGGAATCTAAGCATGGATTTAGACTGATACATCACAGGAAAGTCTTATCATAGGACTAGCCTGGAGTCCTCACCCTGGGAACAGCCCAGGCACTCACACTGTGTCTGCCCGATGCTTGCTGGGCTTCTTGCAACTGCCCCACCTGCTGTCCCCGTGGTGCCTGCTCCTGCCTTGTTGAAGGGTGTGGTTCACTGCATCATGTTTTATCCTTTACCTGTTTTCAACATTCATGATTTAGGAAAGATACCTTTCCTCCTTGAACGGGCAAGCTTTCTATCTGGGGGTTCCATGGCTTATTGTGAGCAGCTGACTCGTGTGGAGGTGGTGAGAGTGAGAGGCGCCCACCATCTAGCCACCCCAGCTTGCCCCCCTTCCCTTGTGGCAGGCTGAGCGTCCAGGGTGTGGGGCTGCCTCACCTACATACTCGCCCCTGGCGAAGGGCAGGGCTGGGTGAATGGTTCTTGTCTCCTGCTCCGCAGGTGGTGGCTCGTAACTGTCATCCCCAGTCTCCTCAGCAGGTAGCACATACATCTCTGAGTCCGAGTGCTCATCCGGGTGTTCATAGTCGCTGTCCTGCAAGTGCAGACCCCATGCTCAGTGCCCCATCTATGTTCAGTCATCAGAACAGCTCTGGCTCTACGAGGTGGGAACTTCTCCCCCAGTGTAGGGACCAGAGAGCGAGGCTTGGAAGGGTTGGCTAAGCAAGGTTGGGCAGCCATCAGAGGCAAAGCTGGGGTTGAGGCCGAGCCTTTCTGCCTCCAGAATTTATCACCTGAACCACTATCCTGGGGGAGCATGTGGGCCATTTAACAGGAAGGGTGGCTGAAACTCTGTGTGTCTGCAAAGAAGAACAGTCAGAGATAAAATACATTTTTAAAAAAACAGAAAAGGACCCAATAAAATAGAAATAACCAATAGGTTTCATTTATCATGAATGCTGACAGTCGAGGAAAAAGATTAGTAAGGAGAGGGTAAAGGGCTGCACAGAATACACAGATACCTCTGAGGAGATGAGGTTTGTTTGTTTTTCAACGGAGCTGGTAAGCTGTGGGGGCTAAACTTTCTATCTGACCCAGAATCCATTGTCTTCTTTTTTTGTTTTCCTTGTTTTTAATATAAATTTTATTTAAGTCTATATTAAAATGATTGAATATTGAATATTCAATGTATATTGAAAATACATCAACACAGTTCAAAAGGATGTAAATCAAGTCTCCCTCCCTGCCTCTCAGTTCCTCCCCCAGGGCACAGTTCCTAGCTTCTTGTGCATTTTGTTCAGGGATCACTTAGCTAATACTTCACATGTACATATATTCATGTGCAGGAAATATTTGATCCAGGACTTAAGAGGTCCTTGGCCCACACTGCCTGACACACTGTGAGATGCTCACACGATTCACCAATGAACACGCAGGGCAGGAGCACAGTAGGGCAGCAGTGAATGATGAGTGAGGGAGTGAGGGCTGCTCTTCTCCTCAGTCTGGGGGTGGGGGTGGGGGGGTGGGATTGGTGAGAGGGGAGGAGTGGAGTGAATAGGAGAGGGACGGAGAAAGGCTGAAGAGAGAGCTTTCCCCAAGCTCCCTTACCAGCAGGTAGGGAGACTCAATAATCTATCCTGACCAGGAATATGAAATTAGACTAAATAGAATACTGGTAATGGTAATTATTACTGTAACTGACATTTCTATGCACTGCATACCTCAGGTGCCCCTTACCACGATTGTAGGAGAGTTTTTTTTTTTTTTTTTAAGTCCTCAGAGAAAGTGAGGCATGATGAGTTGAGTAATTTAAGTCTGCGATCTGTGTTCTGGAGAAGCCATAGCTGTTCTCAGACCATCTGGGAGGTGGAGTGGAAGCAGGAGGGTGGCTGGGGATAAGAGCCTGGCTTGACAAGGCTCCTCCCACCCAGCCTGAGGCTGTTGGGACCCCCCCTCATCCTGGCCTATGCAAGGACATGGTCGCTGTTGTTGCAGCATCCTAGGGAGACGTCGGTAACGTGCTGAGAAACGGTTGCTCTAATAACCATCTGGAAAGTGAAAAAAGCAGTAGGCACCCAGACACACGGGCCTGGGTGGGAGCTGGTTTGGGTGTCCCACTTTGTCTCAATTGTCGTGGAGCAGGCACCGGGCTTCCTGGACTTGATCACCTGGAGGCTGGGGAGCCATGTGCATCCTGGGGGGTGGGCACGGGGGTCCTACAGCCCCTTGGGCAGACTGAGATGACCAGGCTGGCCGAAGGGGCAGAGAAGGTAGAGGTAGAGCGACTTCACATCAGCTGCTCCTGGCAGCCCAACGCTGACACTGGGCCACCTCCCAGACCATAAGCCCCATGAGGACTACTGGGCTGAGACAGTGTGTCCAGGCCCCAGCAGGCAGTGAATGAATGAGCTGAGCTGCACCCTGGGCTCTGAAGGCAACTGAGGAGGAGGACGTGGGTGCTCGGAAGTGCTGAGCTGCCCCTTCATTTGGAAGGTCTTTTCTGTGGGAGGCTACTTTGAGGCCCCTCCTATTTCCAGCATAGTGAAATGATTGCCTTTTAATCAAGAGAATTAGAGGGGAGTCTCTTCAAACTTCTGAAGGAACAGTTTAAAAGAAACCTCCCCTCAAATTATTCTATATTCTGACAAACAAGACTCATTCTTTCATTCATTCAGTTAATACTTGAGCAAGTGGAATATGTTGGACAGTGGGATGGAAACTTTGAAGAAGGGAATGTGTATTCAGGCAAAAGCCTTGTCAAATTATCCATTCATTCATTCGTTCATTCAGTTAATCAGTCAATATTTAGTGAGCACCTATTGTGTGCCAGCCATCGTGCTTGACTCTGAGCACAGTCTCTGCCCTCACAGGACTTATATTTTAGCAGGGGAAAACAATGATAAACAAATAGTGACTAAGAGATAATAAGTAGAAAACCAAACATAAAACAGCTATCACTAGTGGTAGATGCCCTTGAGGGAATGTTCAGGGTCCTGAGACAGAGCAATGGGGTGCGGGATTCTACATCAGGTGCAGCAAAGGCCTTCCTGAGAAAGAGTGAAGCCAAGCCTGAAGGACAAGAAAGAGCAGAGCAAGTGAGGAAGGATGGCGATCCTCTTCGCTTCCCCCTCTTTTGCCTTCTTCCTCTGCCTGCCAGAGGTCCACGAGTCTGAAATCACTGAGCAGGCATGACCCTGGCCTGTCCTACAGCTGGGGGCAGATGTGTGCACCGGGCCGTGGTACACAAGGCCCTGCTGAGGCTGGACAGGTCCGCAGGGGCCGGATCTCATCTGTCCTGGAGGCCCCAGGCCTGGATTTCATTCTCTGTACAATGGGAACCCAATAAGGTCAAAATAATTGTGAGTGAATGTTTACTCAATCCTTATGGCAGCTGGTCCTTAATTTTAGTTATTTGGCTTTGGGACACAAATTATCCCCTCCTCTCCAGGATGATTTTATTTGTGTGTTCTAAGTCCCCACATTGTGCTCTTTTTATTCAGCCAGGGAGCTCCATTTTCTTGGCTTCCCGGTGGATGCAGACCAGCTCTCAACTTTGCTTCCGCTGTGTCTGGCAGCGTGCGGCCAGCAGGAGGCGCAACCACAGTGCTTGTGAAGGATGAGTGGCTGCGCCGGCCTGGAAGGAACTCCACACCCAAGTGACCGGCAGACAGGCCTTCTTATCACCTCTTTTTTACAGATCATTTCTCTGCAGTTGAGAAGGGAGATACTCCTGTCTCATAACACTCTGAATAAACTCCAGCTGGTGTACACAGTGTGGAGCTGGGCTCAGGCTCAGTGGACAGGAGTCCTAGGCTCCCATTCCAACTGGGCCATTGAGTAACAGAGTGGCTGTTCGGCAAGTCCTTTTCACTTTCTTAGCCTTGGTTTCCTTATCTGTAAAATGGGGTGGGTGGCTGTGTGGAGGCCCTCTTGGATCCTGTCCCGATAAAACACACAAAGAGTGCAGCAGGCTAACATTCTGGCTGAGTTTGATATAAATGAGAAATAATTGTTGTGTAAAAGTTTTTAGGATGTATTGTCCCAACAAGACTGCACCCCAGAGAGAAATGACCACTGGGGCCATGTGGGCTGCACCTTGAAGAGATTGACAGTTATCTCTGACATATCACCCTCCAGTGTCATTGTGGTCACGTCCCTTGCTCGCTCTGTGGTCCCCAGCATCTGCTACTGTCCTCTTGGTTACAGCAAGCATGTTGGAGTTTAAAAGCCTGATTTTGAGATCTGAGGGCCTGGGTTTGAATTTTGAAACTGCAAGTTACTTAAACTTGCTGTGCCTTGGTTTCTTTCTTTTTTTTTTAATTTTTATTTATTTATGATAGTCACAGAGAGAGAGAGAGAGGCAGAGACACAGGCAGAGGGAGAAGCGGGCTCCATGCACCGGAAGCCCGATGTGGGATTTGATCCCGGGTCTCCAGGATCGCGCCCTGGGCCAAAGGCAGGCGCCAAACCGCTGCACCACCCAGGGATCCCTGTGCCTTGGTTTCTTTACCAGTAAAATGAGCAGGGTTGATATTCAAAATGTTTGACATAACCAGCATGGCCCAGGTCCTGACTTGGCCCTAAAGGGTGTCCCAGAGGCCCCCTGATGTGCCAGGCATTCACTCTTTGGTGTGGGTTTGTTTAGGGCTCTTAGATAAGGCCCAGGCAGTGATGGAGTGCTGAGGAATTCTGGGCAGAGGCATTTGTCAACTGATACAGAAATATTTAAAAATATTTCATGTTTGTTTTGGCTGTGCTGGTGAGTACTCTGAATAGCAGCACCAAAGATGAGGATAAGAATGCCTAGACATAGGGCTGTGGGGAAGATTGCATGAGGCAATGTGGATAAGGCACTTAGCCCGGCACATGGTGGCACTAGGTCAAGTTGGCCGTTAGGAGGTTCTCGCTGCCTTGTCTATGGGTGGCCTTTCCAGCCCAGTCATGGCTCTACTGTGGTGTACCCCTGGCCACCAGTATATCGTTCAGAAACAAGCTCTTGCAAAGGCCTCCCACAGACCCTGGTGGAAACCACAACTGTCTCCTCCCAGGAGCAAATACTTACAAAGTCATCTGACCACTGCTCCTCTTCGTCAACAGGGTTCTCTGCAACGGCATGTGGGAAGCAGAAGGCACAAACATGAATCTCTGCTGGCCAGCTCCACCCTGTCCACCAGTACCCCACGCCTGCCTTCTTTGTCCTGGGGCTCCCTGGTTCTGTTCACTTATCTCATCTTCATCCACTTTCAACTCCTCTTTTTCAAAGAAATCAATTCTCAAAGCATACAGGGAAGTCTCACTGAAGCAGAGAAATGGTACATCTGAACCATGTCTGTCTTTGTTAAGAAGACTTTCAAATAACCCAGGGGGCACCTGCAATTCATACCATGTTCCTTCTAAGGATTTCTATGAATCAATATGTGGATGGTATAGTAGGAAGAGCACTGGACAGAGAGTCCCATTGACCAAAATTCCCATGCAGGCTCTGCTCCTAACTAGTCGGAAAGCGGACAAGACAGCTAACATCTCTGGGCCTCAGTTTCAAGATCTACAAGATGACGAGATCACTTCTGTGATTCTCTGTAGCTCTAACTTTGACTTTCTTATTAAGAAGCATTTACCCAGTGCTTTGCTACATGCCAGGCAATATTATCAGAGTTTTGCAGTCACATAGCTCTCTCAAAAACCTTATGAGGAAACTGAAGCCTAGCAAAAATAAGTCATTTGCCCAAGGTCAGAGAGCAAATAATAGAGCCAGGAATTGAGCCCTGCAGGCTGACTTGTAAGTGCATGCTCTGGACTCCAGTGCCATGCTGCCTCACTGCCTTTGAATGCCAGGGTATAGGCTCCGCAGGCAGGATAAAAATGAATATGACAGGTCTCAAGGAGCTTAGGATCTTGAAGAATAAAATAGATCTGAATTATGACAGCCAAAAAGACTATCTGACTCCCTTTCTTCAAAACACATTTAGAGTATGAGAAGCTTAGCATCCATCCCATCACATAAACTGACATTAGAGGTTAAATACAATTCGCTCAGCTATGTGGGCAATCAACCAGGCACAGGGTTGGCTGTGGCACAGCCACATAGCAGAGTGGCTCCAGCGACTGTGCCAGAGAGGCTCTGAGCTCTCCTCCCATCCCACTGATCAGCCCAGTGGATAGTCCCAGAAGCCTCTAGAGCCTTAAGAAAAACTTTTCTTGCTATTTCCAGTCCCTGCGATAGCAAACCCTTGAGTCCAGCTCCAGTGGACTTCAAAGAGGTACAAGGAAAGGAATTACCAAGCAAAAATGGGGGCCTGAAGGAGGTGTTCAGATCAGAGTGGCCAGATTTTAAACAAACTATGGCAGCAACAGTGCCTTCTCTTGGGAAAAACATGATAGGTACTAAAAAGGAGTTTTCTTCTTCTTTTTTTAAAGATTTTTATTTCTTTATTCGTGAGACATACAGAGAGAGAGGCAGAGACATAGTCAGAGGGAGAAGCAGGCTCCCTGTGTGGAGCCCAATGTGGGACTTGATCCCAGGATCCTCGGGATCACTGCCTGACGAAAGATAGACGCTCAACCACTGAGCCACCCAGGCACCCTGAAGGAGCTTTATTCTGTGAGCCAAATAATGGGACAGACTTTGACATTAACAGAAGATAACTCTTATTAAATTATGATTTGGGCTAACTTATACCAAATTAGAGTGTACTGCGACCACTGGGGTTTTCCAAGAAACTCAAGAAGACTAGGTAAATGAGTCCTCCTTCCAATATGTCAATACCTGACACAGAGGTGGAATATATTTCTAAAACTTTAAGGTTGGGGATAATTGAAGGTCAGCACTTAAGGTGGCAAGACCTATTTGTTTCAACCTTTAAGTAGGAATCATTATAAATATCTTTATGAAACACACTTCTCTGCCTTGGTGAACTGGTGTTCAGCCTTTTCTCAGAGAGCCAGGGCCTGCTTTATGGTCAGTCACTACTGAAAATATTTGCACATAAAACTATTTTTCTGCTCCCCATTATCTTTCCTCTCCAACACATACTTTGTACTGCTTCTAGTTATTTTCTTTTTTTTTTTTTTTTTTTTTTTTTTACTTTATTTATGACAGGCACACAGTGAGAGAGAGAGAGGCAGAGACACAGGCAGAGGGAGAAGCAGGCTCCATGCACCGGGAGCCCGATGTGGGATTCGATCCTGGGTCTCCAGGATCGCGCCCCGGGCCAAAGGCAGGCGCCAAACCGCTGCGCCACCCAGGGATCCCTAGTTATTTTCTTAAAATAAAGTTTGGATCATGCTGCTTCTTTCCTCAAGAATCATCAGTGGCTCCCTATGGAGTAAAGTCAAGGCCCTGTGTTGACCTGTCCAAATGCCTCCACGCTCTCACAGTGATACTGGGCAGCGTATTCTTCCCAGCCTGAGCTTTTGATAGTTCTCTGCCCGGGCTATTCCCCCCATCTTCCTTCTTTGCGTGGAAATCCCTGTTATACCTCTGCCATATGGTTTTCCCCAGTCCCTCAGGTTATAACCCATGACTCCTTCCTCTGGGCCCTCGAAGGTGCTGTGGGCACCTTGATGACACATGTGCTTTATTCTGCGCCTGTGCTATGATCATTTGTGTGTCTCTGTGTACTGAAAAACAAGGCCTATTTAATTTATCTTTGTGTCTGAATGACATTTGGCATTTGTAATCCATGCGGTAATAAAAGTATGAACAAACAAATGAGTAGAAAGAATGAAAATTAGAATAATAATAATAGTTTCCATTTATTAAATACATCCTATGTGCTCAGTGCTAGGGTAAGTGTATATTCTCCATTATCCTCAAATAGTGCTTTGTGGTAGGTGCTATCATGTTTCAATTTTATAGTCGCAAAACCAAGAAACTAGAGCTAAGAGATGTTGCAAAACCTGCCTGAGGCTGCATGGCCCCTGCAGCTGGAATCTCATGTAAAGTGTCTGACCCTCTACTGAGCCTTTGGATAAAATCTAGGAGAGGGACACCTGGGTGGCTCAGTGGTTGAGCATCTGCCTTTGGCTCAGGGTGCGATCCTGAAGCCCCGGGATTGAGTCCCACATTGGGCTTCCTGCATGGAGCCTGCTTCTCCCTCTGCCTGTGTCTCTGCCTCTCTCTGTGTGTCCCTCATGAAAAAATAAACAAAATCTTAAAAAACAAAAAATCTAGGAAAAACAAGAATGGCCCAATCCAGCGTTGGGGAGCATTGAGGCAGAAAAGAGAGAAAAGCATCACTGTGTGGGAGCGATTGCCTCATGGTACCCCTCCCTCTCCCAGCTACACCCACCTTCTGCTCCTAGGGGCAGCTCACAATACCCTACTCTTTAAGTCACAGCCTGTGGGTCATTTCCCAAACTAAAAAGCATCATGGTCCAAAGTACTAGATCCAGAGTACTGGGTGGTTGTCCAGCATCTCGGGGAGCCTCCTAAAGTGAGTGGCTTGTGATTTTATAATCAGGCCCCCAGGTTCAAATCCTGGCTCTGCTCTTTACTACCTGCTGGGCAGTGAACCAGGACTTTCGTTGTTTAAAGCTCAATTTCTCGCCTGTGAAACAAGGGTAAGAATAGTACTTGCCTCATGTTTTTTATGAGACTCAAGTAATACAATGCATGTAAAGTGCTTCACAAAGCCTGGCACATGATAAATGCTGTATTAATGTTACTTATTGTTGTTTTGGGTATTGGTATGTCTTAATAAACCCTCAAAACAATATCAATTCTATTTCACTGTAATCTCAACCACACAACTTGGCTACCATAGAGAAATATACCCAAGGAAGCCTTTAGCATAGAGGGTGACGCTTTCAGGAGGTTAAGTTCAAGTTTAGTATGGATGGGCCAGGTGGTTTAACTTGGGATGTAAGGTTGCACGTCTCTGGGAGGGAGTTGAAAGGCTGGTTGGGCTTCCTTATTAGGGAAAGCCTTTCCCATTGTGTCGTGTACCTGGTTTGGGGTTGATGTTCTATTTACAGTGACACAATCCCATGCCACATAATAGAGGGACTCCTCCTCTTGCCTGGCCCAGGCTTTGTGATTCACATGCCTCCCCAAGCCTGTGGGTACAGCACCTGGCACTATGAGACACGGCACTATGCCATGTCCTCTCCAGGGCTTCGAGCTTTGGCTCTGGGGTTAGGCTGCCTTGATCAAAATCCTGATTTTGCTGCTTGCTAGCAGCATGAACAGGTAAATTGCTTAACCTCTGCACATCTGTTTTCTCACCACTGAAATGGACATGAAAAGTTGTGCCTGTGTCATGGGGTTTTAGGAGAACAAAAAGAAATAGCCCAGGGAAAGTGCATATAAGGGTGCCTGACAGGAGTAAGAGTGTAACGGATGCTGCTTGTTGTTATTAATCTACTTTAATGCTCATAATAGCCTGAAGGATAGATCGGCATTCTCATCTCCAAGCAAGAATCTGAGGCTCAGGGAAGTTATAAAACTTTTCTAGGTTCACAATGTTATAGGGTCAAGGCCAGAATTCTGACCCAGGGCTAAAGGATCCCAAAGTCCAAGATCTTCTCACCCAGCCTTGGAGGTAATAGAGCTAGAGTCTAGAAGAACAGTCATGTATCATACTGAGGACAATCCAGGGCAGTGTAAGCTCTCCTGACCAACGTCTCAACACCTAGAATCAGGGCCAGGTGCTGGGAAAGTTCTGCGAAGGGTGTGCTCAGCAAAAGTTGAGGGGCTGTATGCAGTTGTGTTGTGAATGTGGGATTGACCTGGGCCTTGGAGGACGGGCAGGACTTGAACGAGAGGATGAAGATGAGGGAGAGCATCTCCTTCTACCGCCTAAGGCTGAGGCCTGAGTGTCATCCACAGAAGCAGGGTTTAGCTGACAGCTGGAAGAAGCATCTGTAAGGCATAGATGTGCCTGGAATGAACAAGCTGTACTGAAGAGTCAGGGGAGAAAACAAAGCCAGATTTGTTGCCAGCCAAGGGGTTGTTCAAGTCACAGAGGCTACTGTAGGTTCCAATGACAAGCTGGAGGCAGGGAGGCTGATGAGGATGGTGTGTAAGTTATTCAGGCATAAAGACAGAGGCTGAACCATACTGGGGGTCTTGGGAATGGGAAGGGATGGCTGCAAAGATAGTAAAGGATTCTGTGATGAGAGCTTGAGCAAAGGGGTGAAGCCAAGAGTGTGAATTGAGCCTTTCTGTTCTGGGTCATGAGCAGCGCCAGCGACTCCGGGCATTGAGGGGTGCACTCCAAGCTGTGTGCCTGACATACATTCAGTTGTGGCCCTGATTCAGCTCTAGAGGCCATACTCTGGGCCACTGGGCCTGCCAGCTTCTCCTCTTATGGAACTGGTGGTGGTATGTGGGGAACCAGTGGGAATACCACAGTGGGATGCAGGGAGGAAAGAAGGAGGGAGCCCGGGCTAGATGTGGTGGTGGAGGAAGTCTCAGGGAAGGAACAGAAAGAAGAACTACAGAAGCTGTGGGGGAGGCAGCCAGGCAACAGTCCCACTGGGTACATCCCAAAAGGAGAAAGGGATGTGACTATGTGGGGAGTGGATCTGAGCTGGCTAGGAGAGGTGATTTGCATCTAAATACTTAGCATCTTTTTTTAAAAAAAGATTTTATTTATTTATTCACGAGACACACACACACACACACAGAGAGAGAGAGAGAGAGAGAGAGAGGGAGAGAGACAGAGAGGCAGAGGGAGAAGCAGGCTCCATGCAGGGAGCCCAATGTGGGACTCAATCCCAGGACTCCAGGATCATGCCATGAGCCAAAGGCAGAGGCTCAACCAGTGAGCCACCCAGGAGTCCTCTAAATACTTAACATCTTTAAAAAGTCCCTTTGCTGCATGTCCCTTCATCCCTTCTCAGAGCCCTGTTAACAGCAGGTGGGTGTGCAGAAATGGAGGACTTAGTACTGGCTTGGCCATCATCCAGCTGGATGACCGTGGGCAGCCACTTGGCCTGTCTGGTTTCCAAGTATCCCTAACACGAGAAGCTAGGGTTGAGTGGTCTTTCAGGACTTCCCAGGCTTTCAAATACCTTCGAGTCCAAGTTTCATTCCTCTAGTCTTAGTTCCATGAGGCAGGGCTGATGGTGAGTGCAGCTCTCCCCGTGTCAGGCTTGCTGGTACCACCAGTCAGAGTGGAGACAGGGAGACAAAAAAATCAAGTGAATGCTGGCTTCAGTAAGGACATCATGGCATGGGAAAAGTGGTGTTATAGCTCACTGCTTTAGTGGACAGAAGGTTGTTAGGAATTCTCTGTGTTTCTGTGGTGGGCATTCACCCAAGAATCTCTCTGAGTACCTTCCTTTGTCCTGAGGTCTCTCCCTCTTTTTTTTTTTTTAAGATTTTATTCATTTATTCATGAGAGACACACACACACACACACACACAGAGAGAGAGAGAGAGAGAGAGAGAGAAGCAGAGACACAGGCAGAGGGAGTAGCAGGCCCCATGCAAGGAACCTGATGCGGGACTCAATCCCCGGACTCCAGGATTATGCCCTGGGCCGAAGGCAGGCACTAAATCGCCGAGCCACCCAGGGATTCCCTCTCCCTCTTTATGACTGCTCTGATCTCCCTGAATGCCATCAGTGGTGGGAAGAGAATTATTACAACAGCCCCTGGGTATTAGGGGAGAGAGGCCTCATTCAATTCTTACCACTCAGGGGTTTGTGGAACGGCCAGTGGAGCTTCCCTCCACCAACTGTGTGACCTTCAGCAAATAATGACCTGTTGGCTTTCTCAGGCATTATTGGACTCCCCACTAGTCATTAAGTGCCTGAAAGTCAGGGGTTACATTTTGTCCCCCCCACACACATCTAGTAGAGCTAGTATAACACAGAACATAGTTGTGTCATATTTGTCGAATGAGCCAAAGAACATGTGAAACAGCAGGAGCACCTGAAGATATTGATACTAGAGAAGGAACCATTCAAATACCCTAATTTCTTAATTTTATCCTTGAAGGTACATAGCACAACTCTATTTCTGTTTTCTTGAATGTTTAAAGACTTGTGCTGTGTGGCCATGAGAACAGACTTAGGAGGCCACGAGGAAATGGACCGCATCTCTGTCCTGCTGGAGCTATCTGTCCTTGACAGGACCAGATATGCTTGGAAGGTCATTATAGGAAATGTCCAAACAGAAAGTGAGCCTCATTTGTGGTGCATGTGGTGGGGTGGCTGTAAGCACTGGGTTGGATGTTAGGCTGAGGTCCTGACCTCTGAGGTCCTTTTTAACCTGGGATTCCATGATTCTATAATTTTCCTATCAAAACTTGGGCAGATGTAGTCTGCTTTGTTTTGCTTTCTTTTCTTTTTTTAGAACTTGGGAGAGAAGGATGAATTTGTTCTTATTTGTTAACTAAGCAGCTCCTTGACTTTTTCCCCTTGACTTTTTTTTTTTAAGATTTTATTTATTAATTCATGAAAGACCCAGAGAGAGAGAGGCAGAGACACAGGCAGAGGGAGAAGCAGGCTCCCCGTGGGGAGCCCCATGTGGGACTCGATCCCAGGACCCCAGGATCACACCCTGAGCCAGAGGCAGACGCTCAGCCACGGAGCCACCCAGGTGCCCCTCCCCTTGGCTTTTGATCAGGTATATTTTAAAGATCAGGACAGGGTCTTTATTTATTTTTATTTTAATTTTTTCAGTGCAAAGGAATCTCCTGGTTAACTGTTGAGACTTGGCAAGGTAAGTCATAAGTATTCTGAAACCTAGGGAGATGGGGAAAGTGGTCCAACAAGCCAGTCACCAGGCTTGATATGTTGGTTGGCATTTCTTAGTGTGATAAGATTTATTAGTGCCTAAGAGGAACTCAGCTGTCTGATTTATTGCTATCTTGATCAGTGACAGAAAAAAAGAATAGTAAGCATCCATTAAAGTTGTGATTTGATTTTAGCTGTTGCCCTGCAGAGGAAGAGACTTCATTGATGTCTGTAGCCCTGTGGCTTTTCTTAAAGGCTATATAGATCTGTCCATGTCCAGGAAATCTTTAAATTTAAGCCAACAGAAAGAGATTTTAGACCTATTTTCCCAAGTCTTCTAGAAATGGGAAGTACATCGGATAATTTAGTTTGCTCACCACTGCCATAAACAATACCAATCTGAAGATTAACTACTCTCCCCTGACAAAAATGATCCTAATTGGTATGAGTAGACGGTAGCAGGGCTAAAGTCAGAGAGGACTGAGTGAACCATGTGCCATCAGTACTTCATCCTCTCCCTTCCCCTCCTCACCACCCTCCCCCATCCCTCAAGTATCCATCTTAACAGTTCTTTTTTTTTTTTTTTTCATCTTAACAGTTCTGTATGCAGAAAGCCTTCCCTTGCCTGCTTCCTCCACACCCTCTACCTCATATTAGATTAGACCTTGCTGTATGGACTTGCATCAAACTTTGTGCTTCCCCATCACCCTGAACTCTAATTGCTTTTACATAATATATCTTCTTTTCTTCACTGTAAATACTGAGTGGGGAGACTATAATACTGTCTTGTTTAGCACTGTATCTCTACCTAGAACCTTGTGTGTGCCTGGAACATGGAAGATAATACATTTTCGATAACCAGATGAGTGGATGGATGGATGGATAGATGGATGGATGATGGTTGGGTGGGATACTATGACTCCACTATAGTTAAATACCTGATAGATTTGGACATTCTTAAAATTAGGATGGGGACTCTCGTTTTCAAATGAGTAGAACATAGTTCCGTTTTCAAGAAGTAAATATGAACATGAGATTAGTCAAGAGTCCAAGTATTTTAGAAATATTCTTACCTGAGGCATAATCCCTTTGAGGAACACTTGGAGGTGCTTTGACTTTCAGCCTATAGATAACAACCATTAAACAAATGGTGAGTGAGTAGGACAACTATTGTCAAGGCACATAATATAAGCGGATATAGCGATAACAGACAGATAACTAATAGAATAAAGGCTTCTTTTGGACCCACCACATTGAAAAACTAAATGTATTATAAATGTAGTGAAGTCATTAATCAGAGGTCTTCTATCTCCCTCATCTCCCCAGTGTGTAACAGGGCTATGACTTGGCAAAGGTGAAGTCAAGTGGTGGAAGGGTTTTGAGAGTTCAGAATCCTAGCAAGCACAGAGTTCAGAGGTTCAAGGAAAAGAAATGTTGATTGGTTGATAGGACAGTAAGAGAAGATGAACTCTATTTTAATAAATAACAACAAATGTTTTAAATAACAAGAAAAATATTAGGTATAATGAGCACTTTGGTTTTGGTTGGACTGAGATTATTTTGGCACTATTAAAAAAATGTTAAATAAGTGAGCAGTGAACATCTCCAGGTTAGGGATCGTGATATTTAGCTTATTTAGAAGTTGAATTGTTTCAGGCACTCTCAAAACTACTTTAGCATCTTTATGCATATATAAAATGTTTGAATATTCACAATCCTCCCCCCCTCATTAAAAGAAGAAAATTAAACTTACATTTTAAAAAAGATTTTATTTATTTATTTGACAGAATGAAAGAGAGCAGATGCAGAGGGGTAGCAGGCAGAGGGAGAGGGAGAAGCAGGCTTTCCACAGAGCAGGACCGTGGGATCCTGACCTTAGCCAAAGGTAGATGCTTAACTGACTGAGCCACCCAAGCACCCCTAAAATTACATTTTAAAAGTGGATCCCCCAAAAAACAAAACAAAACAAAAAATGGATCCCAATTTTTAGGTTTATCACAAGTTCTAACAACACTTTCCATTCTATTATTTGAAATGGGTAGGTTTTCTAGTAAATTATTGTTCTTCATAATAGTTGCCCATTTTATTTAAGGATACATTGCTTAATTAAATTTAAAGTATATATAAACAAAACCTATATCCAGAAGCCTTTATTTACTGAAACATCATATACTTTTTTAGAGGCAAGGTATAAGGTAACCATTACATGCAAAACATTTCATTTCTTTTTGGGAAAAAAAAAAACACAGTACAGAAATTCATGTCTGATTACAAAAAATAAGCCTGACAAACCAGAGTTGTAATGTCGCAAAAATAACAATATTTATATTTGCATAGAAATTCTGCTTTTTGTTTCACCAAAGGTTCTCAGATCGATTATTTCATTCAGTTCTCATAGCAAGCTAGCGTGTGCTGGGGAGATATTATCATTAGACTTATAATGAGGTCCAGAGAGACAGATTAGCCACAGTGTTATAGGGGGAGAAAAAGCACGAAACAAACAAGAAAAGATGCTGAATCTGTTCTTGGACTGGTAAAATTTTGAAAAACACAAACCAACCACTACCCATTATTGCCATCATTTCATAAGAGAAAAGAAAGAGTATGTTAATATCCCACAATGTATGAAGGTTATCATCTCAGGACATAGGACAGACTCAGGAAGGGTCTGGTGGTCACTGAACACCGACCAGGAATAAAATCTGTGGTTTGGGCTTCACTTAGCAGCTGGCAGCTGCATGCCAACCCCCAAGGCTTCAAGGTCCTTATTTTCTCATTTGGCCATGGACCAATGACAATTCTGTCATGGTCTTGTGTTAGGAAACCAGTGTGTTCAACTGTGCTTCCTCCTTTCAAGGTAGCACCTGTTGCCTGGCAACGAGCAAGAGTGTAAGAGCAGGTCACTCAGAACCAAAGGGCCACGGACTCACCTAGGGTAATGACTTTGGCAGCCATATTTTCCAAGCTGAGAGGAAACATGGTGTGTTAAGTGAAAATGTATTTTGGGGAACAAAGAGCATAATAAAATAGAAACTGTCTGAAAAACGTTGAGCTCTGTGGATGCTGTAAGTATGCCTGACCATGGAATAGAGAGACGTTTTACACAGAGGCTTAATATTATTGAGAAAACTGGTGTACTGTAAAACTGGCAACAGTGGAATAATTAATCCAGAAGTGCTAATGATTAAACAATGACTAGCAGGGTTCTTCATTTTAATGAGATTCTGCATGTGTCAGAAATATTAAATGAGAATAACACACCTCTCCCTACCACAGAACATGAGGACAAATACTCCTCTAGGAGATGCTCCACAAGTAGAACACCATTTTAACTATTTTATGATGATCACTTATACATATTGAGGCTCATTTGCGTTTTATAGTCTAAAAACACTGTTAGACATGATTTCTTGCTTTCAAGTTTAACAAAGACCAAATAGAATGAAGGTACTACTTTGTTCTGAAGGCATAGGGAAATGAACTTTTATACACTATGAGTGATATAAAATTTTTGGAAAGCAATTTGGTAATATCAATACAAATTTCAAGGGCATAAATTATTCCAGCTAGAAATTTCATTTAGGAATTAAGCTTTCTGGTATACTCAAAATCTCTAAGAATTATTTATTGAAATGTTATTTATGACAGTTAAACTGAAAGAAATGGCCACAAAATTTTTATTGATCTTATCAAATTGCCCTCCAAGAATATGCCAGTTTAAACTCCTGCATTGCCTTCCATATAAAAAGTGTCCACCAATACACAGCTGGTTAAATGAATGATAATGCATTTATAGCAGACTGTTCAAAATGGAATATGGCTTATCTTTACATGCCAACAAACAAAGACGTCCATAATATAGCATTAAGGAAAACCACTAAACAAAGTCAAGTTGGTAGAATGGTTTATGAAGTACGACTCCATTCATGATGAAAATGTGTGTATATGTATATGCTATATCACATACATATAGATATATATACCATACTCACTCATGACACTATTTCCCTGGAATGGGTTGAGGTGGGGGTATGGGGAAGTGGGAGATTTTGACTTTATGCAATTCTGAACTCTGATCTTTTTTCTTGGCTAATCTCTACTACTTTCATTTGCTGAATAAAAGAACTTAAGCAAAAACTTAATGGGATACTATTTCCTCTTTCGTCTTAACTTAGATCTTGAGTGGCAAATACAGGTATATAGTGTTTATTATCATTTTTTTAAAAAAAAGAAAGCTTCAAAGTTTTTGATGTGCAGGAAGATTTGAAATTCTAGCTGTCTCTCACCAAGTGCCAATTGAAAACACTATTTTAAGGCTATAATTGAAAAAGCAAAAATTGAAATATGGAAAACCGGTATGGCATCCTAAAAATGACAGAGTTGTATCTTATAGCTTCTCTTTTGGATTCCTCCAAGTGCGTCCTTGTGGACTTTAACTAAATAGTTATAGAAGCTGATTGTCCTGTTCTATAAACATTTTTGTTGACATTTGCTGACACCTTGAGTGGTACAGCTCACTTTTACTGCAGTGAGAGGGAAAAGCAAAGTGCCCTGAGTATCACCCTGTTCATTTGCCATGTTTCCTAAATATGTATCTTACCACCATGGATTCTAGGCACAAGTAAGAAAGGGTTATACACCAAAGAGGTGGCAACTCCTCACTTGGTAACAGAGAACTTTGTTCTCTTTCACTGAGCACAGGCTGGAATGATGTGTTATTTATATAAATGAGTGCTTATATAGTGCTATGGAGTTTAACTTACTTTTTTATTTTGTTCATTATTCCACCTTCATTGTTCTTGATATCATGGACCATCTTTTGAAGTTGCCTACAAGAAACAAAATTAAACATAAAATATCAATAACTAGGTTGACTTTTTTTTTAAAAGTATCTGTCCTTCTTGAATACAAAAAGAGAAAAAAGACCTACAATAAAACCCCCAAACAGTGTGAATCGTATTATATTTAATTAAGTTGACCATCTGCTACTTGCGTAAAGGGAAAGTGTGACTGATTCTGCAAGGAACATAGTCATTGGGCCATGTCCCTGTCCAAGTCCATTGGATGTCTGGGCCAGGCTCAGGCTCTGAAGAGAAATTGTGGTTTCCAGATCTGTCCATTCTGAGGACACATGTGAGGTAAAAGCCCTCTGAAAAACCTCACTCTTCACCACTGATTGTCCTTGGGGCATTCACATTGCAAGATGGAGCTCCCTTGAAGGACACATGGGCTGAAATCAGGTCCAAGATTCTTTTTGGTGAACTTTACTGGGTAGAATCTGGAAAAACCGTCACCAAAGAATTGTACATACACAGAAGCCATAACGAAAATGATTAATGAATCTGACTGCATACACATTTGGAAATTCTGTAGAACGAAAAGTAGTATGCACAAGATCAAAAGATAAATGATGTGCTGGAAGAAATATTTGCAACACAATAATAACAAGGACTATGTGTTTTTTAAAAAATATTTTATTTATTTATTCATGAGAGACACAGAGGCAGAGGGAGAAGCAGGCTCCCCGCGGGGACTCCAGCGGGACTTGATCCCAGGCCCCGGGGATCATGACCTGAGCTGAAGGCGGATACCCAACCACTGAGCCATCCAGATACCCTAGGGCTACATGTTTTTTTTTTGGGGGGGGGCTACATGTTTTGATTGACAAATCTTATGACTCAGCAAAAATATTAATAATTCAATAGGAAATGGGCAAAAAATGTGAACACATAGCTAACAGAAAAAGACAAGTGGCTAACAGACTAATGAAAAGATATTTATCATGGCTCATGTTTAAAGGAATCCAAATTGAAACAACAGTGAAGTATGTTCTGCTTATCAGACTGGCAAAACTTAATGTGATAATAACCTGGGTATATGGGGGTACAAGAATACAGATATTCTTAGGAATGCACATCGTTACAATCAATAACTGTCAAATTTAAAAACCTCTATGCCTCTGACCCAGAAATTTTACTGCTAGGAATTTGCCATTATAAACATGGTCATAAAACTATATACCATTATGTACATATACGCATTTTGTTTAATAACCCTAATCCTTCCTGCCTCCCTCCCTAAAAAAACCTGGAAACAACCTAAATGCCCATGAATCATTAAAAGGGAACTAGTCACATAAACTCTGATAAAGCTGTGCAATACCACAGACCCTTAAAAAAAAAAAGAAAAAAAAAAGACACACACCTGTATTGCTGACTCATAAAAATCCCCAACACATATTGAGTTAAACAAAAATAGTGAAGAAGAAAAAGAAAAAAGGAAGGAAAGTTCAGAATAATGTGTAGCACATATTTTTTGTGTGGGATGAGAAAGGACATGTACTTAGTATGTGTCAGTATGTATATAGCTTTTTAGAAGGATATGTAGGCAATTGTTAAAGGATTGTTTTCAAAAGCAAGAGAGTTTCTCATACAAATTAGGAAAAGGTACCCCTTTTTTTCTGGGTGGACATCTCCTCGGTGGCCTGGTGCACAGCTTGACAAACAGACAAGGAATAGATTTCAGCCTCTACTTGTCCTCATAGCTGGGCACCGTTGTATCAACTATACAATGAAGGCTGGAGGCTCGAGTGGGGATGGGGGCTTCCACTTTATAAAAAGGAGACTTTCTCTTTACAATGAAGATTTTTCTATATTATTTGAATGTTCATAGCTTGTGCATATATCATTTCTATTATGTATATAAAATAAGTACTTTATATACATATATAGAGAAAAATGTTAACAGGGTTGTTAATAAATATAAGGCCATAGTTTTTTCTTCATAACAATTTTCTGACTTCAAAAAATATATAAATACATTACTTATATTTACATATATACTTTAATATATTGAAAATATTTATATCTTATATATTATTTATATCATGTATTATATATGTACACATATAATGTGCATACATGTACAAAATATACATGCTTACATTTTATGTTGTATATAAATAATGTATACAAATACATTAAAATATACAATATGTATTATTTACATTTATATATAAACATAAATTATATTTATAAAATTTCACATGGTTCTGTCCTCAACGAGTAAGATGTTTCGATTCACTTTTCAAGCAAGCCTTTCCTTTGTTCTGAGGAAACCATTTGATTGGGCCCTATAGTTAACAAAGTGTAAATCTTGTACACAGCCACCATTCTTGGAGAAGATTGTGATTTCCTATAAACCTGACTGCAGATTTCTCTGGCTCTGGGAGCTAGGCCTTCCATTAGGTAATATGAATAGTGGTGCACAATTAAGCTTGGCAGAGGTCTATAAATCCCTGTTGACTAGGGGAATGAGGCCTATGAATCCCTGCTGAATAGGGGGAATCTGGAGGAATATTCTCTGGCTCTGCATGGATTTAGGACGCATATGTTGCAAAGCTCTTCAGTGTGGGTGGAGCAGTTTAGAGCAGGAGAGGAAGCTTGCTAGAGGAGCTGTGCCTGGCCTGGTCTGTTGGCATTCACTGCTAAGTCTTAATTTAAGGCTAATTAACCCATCTCGGCTGATGTTCTGCTGTGGTTGTTTACTGAGGACCATTGGGCACCGAGGCGTGGGGTGAGATTTACTGAGTAGGGATAGACCCTCCTACCATTTGGGGAAAAGGAAGATTCTCAAACAAAGAATGGGAACTTGCACTGGGGATTTTAGGGAGCTCTCTCCCCTCCCAGGTCTAAGGACTGTTAGGAGCTAATTCTGAAGAGCACAGACAAACCTAAGGGATAGTCATTGGTGGGCAGGTGGGGAGGGATCTGAGAGTGGCATGTTGACTGAAACCTAAGACTGGGTCTGGGCTCCAGACTTACTGGCACATAGCTACCCATTTGCAACAAGAAAACTACTCTCCATTGCTCCTGAATGTTCAGTGGTATCCTGTAGGTAGTTGCATCTCAGCCTCAGTCTCAGCCAGGCTGCAGGAAGTGTGTGATTCATTGGCTTGGAGGAGCGAAGGGCAGAAGGAAAACAGGCTGAAGGGTGGAGTAGAAGGATAAGAGAAACAGGACAATTTTTAGACTGCATTTTGGGAAATTGTCTACAAAACCGGGGTACCCACTGAGGGATCCATGTTGGGATATGGGGGGAGGTCAGTGCCAAGTGGTAAATGGGATAACAAAGGAAATGAGATCACATTTTATATCCGCAGTTAGGGAGGCTGAGCTCACTGATTCCATTCATATGAAAACTCAGCAAAGCCCTAGCGTCAGGCAGCAGAGAGGAAAGATGCATCAGGGAGATGGGGGACTACCTGCCCATCCAAGACAGAGTGTCCCTAGAGCTGGACCTTTGAGTTGCTTCAGAACACCATAGGATTCTAGAGTTTGTTCACATATATCCTGCGCCAAACCCCCATCTCCTTTTCCTGCAGCACTATGGGGAATCTCTGACACAGAGGAAGGAGGGAAAATCAAACATAAGAGGTCTGGGCATGGAGAAAAGGAGAGAATGAGAGAGAGAAGTTAGAATGGTTTGATTGGGAGGCAATTGAATAATTTCCAGTGCAGAAGGGAAGGCAACTTGGGCTGTAAACTGACAGTAATTGAACAGAACGCCTTTAGGCTAAATTAATCCTTAACCAGATTCAAGGACAAAATGAGCCAGAGTAAAGGATGCTCTCTGAAGTTTGTGAAGATGGATGCAGACAGAGTTAAGAGGGAGCTGGGGGCTGATTTGTATAAGCAACTTTGTTGCAGGTTTAGATAAACAGATGTAAACTGTTGCAAAAGAGTGTGATGTCATTTTGTCATTTGCTCAACTTGGTATCTGACGCTTCTTGGCTTGTCTTAATTTCTTTTCATTATAGATTATTAAAGTAATTATAATTACATAATTATAGCACATTGTTGAATTGTTTCATAAACCATACATTTTGTGTGCAAAACTCTTCTTCTCCATCTCTAGTTCACACAAACTGCCCACAGACTGCTCAGTTACAGACACCAAGCTTCTCTTACCTGGAAAAGCACAGTGTCCCCCAAATCAAGAAGATGTGATGATACTCTCAGCTCATTTTATCAACTATTCACACACTATGTGATGCACAGCTTTCCTGCTCTCTGGCAACATCTGTTCTACTTGGAGTACTTTTTTTCTCTACTACAACATAAAGCATATGCAAGAGGAATGTACTGCTGGACTGTTCCCAGATTTAAATACCAGCTGTCTCAGTGTGATAAGTCAAGTGTAGGTAAAAATTGGCATAAAACAGCTTCTCTTTGATTAGTCCTTTCAGAGAAATCCTTCCATAGATGGCAGAAGGATAATAGGATCACAATTTAGTTTTTTAAAATTGTAAAGACACAGCCATATTCATGTAACAAAATAAAATGAAGAACAAAATTAATCTAATATATGTTTTAAAAAGATGTTAATATGGCAGTCCCTACCAAAATAACGTCAGCATTTTTCACAGAACTAGAACAATTCCAAAATTTGTATGGAATCAGAAAAGACTCCAAATAGCCAAAGTAATGTTGAAAAAGAAAAGAAAAGCAGAAATCATCATAATTCTGTACTTCAAGGTGTATTACAAAGCTGTAATCATCAAGACAGTATATAGTATTAGCACAAAAATAGACACATAGATCAATAGAAGAAAATAGAGAACCCAGAAATGGACCCATAACTATAAGGACAACTAATCTTCAATAAAGCAGGAAAGAATATCCAATGGAAAAAAGATAGTTCTTCAAATGGTGTTGAGAAAATCCAATGCAGAATGGAACTGGACCACTTTCTTACACCATACACAGATATAAGTTCAAAATGGATGAAAGACCTAAATATGAGACAGGAATCCATCAAAATCTTGGAG